CAGGGTTGTGATTGTCCATTGTCTCCAGCTGAGTGTGAACTCCCTGGGGCCCTGGACAGCATCTGTTCCATCTCTGCATCAGTGAGGATCTACCAAGGGAGTGAGTTGGCACTGGCATTGCTTCCACGGAGGCCTCCTGGTGTTCCTGACATCAAAGCTATCAGTGTTTACAGTGAAAGCTCCCCAAAGAAACTGTTCACTCCTCCCCAGAGCCTCCTGGAATGAGAAGTCGGCCCGGCCCTGCCCTCGCTGATTAGCAAAACTGGATAAATTAGCTTGCCATGTGAGATTTATCAGTGGTTATGCTTTTATAGGTTATTGAATAGGCTTTGTTTGCATTAGGGTTTTCAGTGCTTTTACAAAACAAGGCGAGAAGATATAGTTGTGCTCACTGCATCTCTGAGGCAGACATTTCATCACTGAAGCTAAAATTTGGTCCAGGGAAAGGAGTCTCTGAAGCTGAGATTTTACCATTTTATGACAGCATCATGATGCATAGTGGTTGCACCTCTCAAATGTGGAGGGGAATGGCCCCTCTGTTCCTGGGGTGAATGCAGAGGGAAGCTGCAGCCAGATAAACCTGTTTAAAAAACTTGATCTTGCCCTGGCCGGTTTGGCTCAGTGGTTAGAGCGTCGGCCTGTGGTCTGGAGAGACCCGGGTTCGGTTCCCGCTAAGGGCACGTACCTTGGTTGCAGTTTGTCCCCAGCCCTGGTTGGGTCGTGTGGGTGGCAACCACTCGATGTGTCGCTTTCACGTCGATGTTTCTTTCTCTCTCTCTCTCTCTCCCTCCCACTCTATCTGAACAAAATATCGAAAAATGTCCTCGGGTGAGGATAAACAAATAAATAAATAAATAAATTGATCTTGGGTCTAAGCCCTTGCTGGTATCATCAAAAGTAGTGACACTTCTCCCCAGTGAAGAAGTTATTCCCTCCTAAATAGTGGAATAGCTTATTGACATAAATAAGGGATACTTTGAAATTTAGAGAAGAATTTCTGCCCACTTATTTTTTTTAACCATCCCATCCAAATTAGAAATTTTGCAGTGTTTTTGTGAATTCTGACCATTTGGTTTGGTGTTTCTGTGCCAGTAATGGGGGACGTGGATGTGCCTGGGCTGTGGCTCTGGGCCTCACTCCTTTTCTCTTTCCTCTGTAGGAACGAGCCCAGGGTGTGGTGCTGAAAGTACTTACAAATTTTAAGAGCAGCGAAATTGAGCAGGCTGTGCAATCACTGGACAGAAATGGCATTGACTTGCTAATGAAGTACATTTATAAAGGGTTTGAGAAGCCCACAGAAAATAGCAGTGCAGTGTTACTCCAGTGGCATGAAAAGGTACGTGAACACATTGCCCACACAGGCAGCCCACAGACACACCCCCACCCCAGTGTTCAAATCAGCTGGCCAGATTTTCCAAAACAGTATGGTCTGATAGGCGTGTGAAAACAAGGGGCCACACCTAAAGCAGCCTGGAACATTGGATCACTTACCGCTGCCAAGAAAGCACTGGTAGGGGTCCATAGTCTCTAGTAATCAGTTGCTTTAGCTGCTGATTTATGCCAGGCAGGTCATGGAGCAGGTGACTTGGCGTGGTAAGGTAGATGAGTCCCAGATGGGAGGGAGGCAGGCTTGCTGGTGGCTGAGGCTTCATGATACTTCCCTTGCTTGGTGGTGGTGGTGGTGGTGGTGGTGGTGGTGGAGGTGGTGGTAGAGGGTGGAGGGTGGAGGAGGTGGTGGAGGGTGGAGGGTGGAGGAGGTGGTGGAGGGTGGAGGGTGGAGGAGGTGGTGGAGGGTGGAGGGTGGAGGAGGTGGTAGAGGGTGGAGGGTGGAGGAGGTGGTAGAGGGTGGAGGGTGGAGGAGGTGGTGGAGTTGCTGCTGCTGTGCCCTCCAGCTAGCTCTAAGGGCTTCCTGGTCTGGCCTCAGCCTCACCAGATCAGAGTGGGTAGTGGCAGAGCCATTAGTCACTTAAAAGGGCCTTCATCCACCTGAAGCAGAAAAGGCTGTGCTTGTCCTTTGTTCGGGTTGGCACAAGAGCAGGTTTTTTGTCAAGCCTGTGTCTTGCCTATGTATCCGTGTCTCCTCACCCTGTAGAGCTACAGGACGCATGCCCACCATCACAGGAGACCAGTCTATCACTAACACAGTGTCCTTCCTGAAAGGCTCCATTGTGTTTTAATGGAGTGGCCCTCTTACTGAGGGGTCAGTCACTTGGGCAGCCTTGGTGCTGGGTTGGGTTGTGGCCTTTGGTCTTACTGGTAGTTATGCTATCTGCTCAGCCAGAAGGTGAAGCTCTTGAGCTTAGTAGGTGGGGGTGTGGCTGGGGGGAACTGAGCAAGCCTTCTACATGGTGTGGAGGCCAGGCCTTTTGGGCCTTTTAAGGCAACTTGGTGCTCAGCCCTATTGGCATTGCAAATGACAGCTCTGAGGGGTTGCAGTGATGGGCATGTGTTGGTTCAGGTGCTTAGTGTGGTGCCAGCTGGCTGGAAACAATGAGCTTGTCAAAAGGGAAATTTGGGGATCTCTATTGTGTGTACTTGGTAACAATATTCTCAAGCCCAGTTCTGCCTAAAGAACAATTCCTGGACCCTTGACTCCAGGACAGGGTTATGTCCCCAGAATGTGGGCTGTTTTCTTCTCCTAACTGTGACTGTGCTCTTGCAGGAATCATTTTTCAGAGGATGTGACATGGTGGGATCTAGGTCAGGGAGTGCATTGTCCCATCTCCCCTGACAAGCCAGGTTCCCCTTGTCCAACTGGGTTCATTTGACACGTTTCCTTTTCCTGCCCCCACAGGCATTAGCAGTAGGAGGACTAGGCTCCATTATAAGAGTTCTTACAGCAAGAAAGACTGTTTAAAAAAAAGACTCATGTTCCCTTGAGAAGAATTTTGGATGCACAGGCTGGTGAAGAAGGGATTGACAATGGACCATCTACCTAGGAACTCCCAGCTATTTCAGGACATGCATCCACTGAAGTATATTTTATTTTCAAGGTGGAGGGAGAAATTGTCTTACTGTTTCCTAAATCCTTTGCAGGATCTGATAGTCTATGCCTTTGTCCACGAATAATGCAGAACTGACATTGTGACTGTGCCAGAGTGGCTGGCCAGTGTTGGTCAGGCGTACCTGTGTGCACTACCTGTTTAAAACGGGGGAGGGATGATTCGAGCAGGTGCAGATCCAAGGGCTGCGGTGAGAGGGAGAGCTTGTGTTTGTGAATTGGAACCCCCCCAGGGTTTGTACAGACATCCCATCCTCCAGAGAAGGCGGGCTCTCTTGGGTTCATTGTAAAGTGCCTGCTGCATCAATAAAGCTCTTGGCTTATTAGTATATACTTTGCAGTGTGTTTCATATATGTAAAAAACGTGGGTAGTGAATGGGATGGTAATGAATGAGGGGCCGGGCCGACTGTTCTGGAAACTCCCTAGGGAGCAAGCATGGCACAGCACTGCCTTGGGCCTGGGCTACAGTGCTGCTGGCTGCTATGGAGAGATGTTTTCCTGAATCAGTATTTATTGTTTTTACTCTTTTGATTTGTATGTAATTTTGGAGCTTATTTAATAAAGTGCCAAACATTCAATAACTGACCTAGGCTTTAAAAGTTTGTGTGACTGTACTTGGAGTTGAGAGTAGGCCTCACATGGGCCTGGTTACTGTCTCCTGACACTGGGTTTGGCTTTGTGACAGGAACACTCTTATTGTGAAGTTGGCAAGTTCTCTTTAAAGGATTAAAAGGCAGAAACAGGTAGCAATCAGCCTATAAATATAAAAAAATTAAAAAATAAAACATTTTGTTCTCTGTAGCTACTAACAATGACTCTCTTTGAAGAGCAAAGATACTTTTCTTTCCTTTTTAGCACATGTAACTAGTCTGCATTCTGTTAAAGAAAAGGACCCTGTTCATGTTCCTGAAGTTCCCCAGTCATGTGGGCCTTGGAGATAGACCTTGACCAAAGTGACATAATCCTCCCAACTCCTCTGCAGAACCCCACCATTCTTGGGAGGCAGGCCTAGGCTGCTGGTTTAAATTACATTTATTTATCCACCCAAATCCTATCTGGGGAGGTTCTTTCTGACAGACAAATGCTCTCTAGCCCTTGAAGTATTTGAGACATAATGTACTAGGTTTATAAGTCAAAGAAATAGTGACACACCATACACTCTATCAAGTGAAACCCACTGTAGTTGTATCTGGATCGAAGAACTTTAATCAAAAAGGATATTGCACCACAAATGACTTTTCTACAGCAGTTTTAGATAGTATAATTCCTATTTACAACATGGAGGGAGAGCTCCAGATTCAATGCTCATATAAAGGGCTACATATACTGTCTCTTATCACAGAATGTTTATACAAGTAAAAGTGCATTAAATCACTTAGAATAGTTACTCCACTCTTTCTCTTAAAGCTGAAGGAAATTCAGTGTGCAGGAGGAAAACCTAATCAGAATGAATCCTCTCTAAGCAAGTCCAGACTTAGTGATGGCCCCACATCTACACCTAAACCTGCCAGGAACGTGTGTGGGGGTGAGAATACCAGCTCAAGCGCTGGAGAGGCCACGGAGGAGTCGCTGCTCCCACAGCTGTGCTGTAGCTGCCTCTGGCGAGCCCTGAACGACTCGGTGTCAGGATTCTCTCTGGGACAGCTGGAAAAGTACCTCTTCCTCATCAAAATGACAACAGAAGGGACTCCTGTTTTGTGTCCCCAACAGGTAAATGGAAAATAGCATTCTAAACAGGACAGACTTCTGCATGGAAGAGGTAGGTAAGTGAAGAATGGGTCACTTGGATGGCAGAGAGCCCGAGCTGGGACAAAGGTGATGCTGCCCTTGCTTGGTACTTCTAGGTCTGTGGAAATGGAGCAGGTTAACTGCGAATCCTTGTTTTTCTGTGAGATATATTTTATGTATCTTAACCCTAAGCCTAATTAAGAAACATAACTTTACAACACGGGCTACCTGATAATAAATTCATAGGAGAGCTCCAGTTACTAATTCAGTTTTTTATTGAACCAGTGAAACTTTCATCAAGCTAAGTCAGTATGTCCCTTTAGATTTGATATTGTGGCTTATGCTTCCTTTTCTTTAGTAATACAAGTTTTCGGCAGTCACCACCAGAGCTATCTGCATGCTACCAAGTCCTGCAATCAGCTGGGGCTGTCTGGACACCATATATGAATGTAGTGTCATCTTAAATAGTTGAGGTGAGGGTGAGGGAGAGATGGTGGCTCCACATACAAGGCAGGCCACCTCCAAAGTTTTGGTCACGGCTGGGGGGAGGGACAGCGGCTGCCTCTTTTGAATACAGCAGACTGTCCTTAACAGTAGAAAACATGTAATTAGCATTTGCTCAGTGTTACAACCAAGAATCGAGCAAAGCAAATGAAACGCCACCATCGCTTCGGAGGGAAGCAGACGCCGAGGACGCTAGTGAGATTACAAAGGGATGGGAATCCCCTCAGAAATCATTTCCTCTTGATGCTCCGATCTTCCTTTAAGAACACCTCTAAATGGGTTTTATAATACAGAAGACATGTTTATAATAGTGAAGAACTTCAGCTATAAAAAATAGTTTAAAATGGTTTACCGGCAACCTATCCAAGACAAGTACATTCATTAAGAAGGCAATTGAGTGTATTTGGTACAAAGGATCTTTTTATATATTTGCTAGTTTTCTTCAGTAAAATGAGATACTGTCAGCTGCATATTCATTAATCCACACTGGCTTCAGAGTATCTTAAAGATGCACACATCTAAAATTCTAAGTTGTTTGAGAAACAAGGTAAAATGTTTTCTTCAAAGGTTAAAAAGCCTCTTCTAACCCATCTGAACCCAAACATGCTACAAGGGAAGGGGAATTTTTAAAAGCCACCCCCACTGAGTTGGCTTGTGGCAGAAGCAGGTGAGTCTGGCTTGCTGGGCATCATTTCAAAGGGTTTTCTTCACATCCAGCAGCATCACTACATGACGAATCAGCTGCCTCCTCTGCCAGATGCTAATGGCTTCAGCTTTAAGTACTAACAAAGGTTAGAAATTTAGGTGCAGATGAGCTGGCCAGAGCTAGGATTTTAGCAGCACTAGAAATGTGGGTAGTGCCAGGACGTTCCCATTTGTGACCAGAATGACAGGATCCACTGCCTTCTGAGGTTCGTATCAGTCTGCAGGGAAGTGGACCTTAAGTCTTGTAAACAATGTTTAGATGCTTGTACAAAATACTGCAGTTACAGTGATTAAAAACCCACCCAGACTGGTGTGTCAGTGTTCTTTTCACAGAAAAAGCGTCAGCCCATGGAGCTCCATACTTGGGTAGTTCCATCTAGGACCATGGTATCCGAGGGTTGGAGATGGATGGCCGGATGCTGCCCTTGGGAGCTGGCTTGGACCCAAACCATGACATCTGTGTTTGAAACAGAAAAGGCTCCTGAGATGAGAATCAGGACCAGGTGCAGAGGGAGCCCCCTCCTCTGATTGTGACCAGAGCGGTGAAGAAAGTGGTTGTAGTGACCAGTCTGTAGGGCTGAGAGCCCATTGTAAGTATGAGAGGGAGACAGGAGAAACAACTGAGCTGACAAGAACAAAGTGGTGAGCCCTGGCCGGTTTGGCTCAGCGGTTAGAGCGTCGGCCTGCGGTCCGGAGAGACCCGGGTTCGGTTCCCGCTAAGGGCACATACTTCGGTTGCAGTTTGTCCCCGGCCCTGGCAGGTAGCAGCCACTCGATGTGTCCCTTCACGTCGATGTTTCTCTCTCTCTCTCCTTCCTCTCTCTCCCTCCCACTCTATCTGTACAAAAAATGGAAAAATGTCCTCGGGTGAGGATAAAAAAAAAAAAAAAAGAAGAACAAAGTGGTGAAATTGTAGGTATTTTTTTCTAATACATAATTTATGTAGGCATTTTTTAAAAATTTTTCTTTTTTTTTTTTGAAAGTCTGGGTGCTGGGCCAGACCTAGGGCTACTGATGGTGATAGCAATGGCTTTGGAAAACAAGGTCTGTTGGTCAAGTACAGCACAGACCTGTGGGAACAAAGCCTGTCCTCAGTAAATACTGTCTGAGTCAAGTTCATCCAAAAGCACTTTCGAAGCTGATGCTGCAGCAATGGGCTGCTCTCATCTGCCAGTGCTGGGAACACTACGTTTTTTGGAAATTGGACAGCAGCCCAGAGAATCCTACCTTATACTCCAGGGTTTCTTTGAGCATGTTCTCTTCTTCTTGCGAAAAGTTCAGCAACACTGACACAGCTTTTATAAGATGAAAGGCCTGAAACAAAAGAAGTTTTGCTGCCTTGGGTCCAGGTGGTGGTGACGGTGGGGAATGAGTTGAGGCTAACTGGCAGCATTTCTAGTTCTGTTCCTGTGTGTGCTCCTGGCAGTGAGCAAGGCCCACACAGGTCTGACAGCGATGGCAGGTTCTTTTTCCCCTCCATCCTTTACTTTGGGGACTGGCGAGATGACCAGGACATCCATAGCAGCTCTGCTCCTAAGAGGTTTCAGCTGCTTGGACTCTGGCCTCAGCATCCAACCCACACCCCCTCCCAGGAGCTAGTTCCCTGCTAGGTCACCCCCAACTTGCTGCTCAATCTGCAGGTCAGTGCCAGCTGGAAAAACACTAAGCTTCCACACTGGTGGTCAACTCGGAATGCGGAGAAAAAGAAAGAAATGGACATGGTGGGAAGCCCTGCAGGGCTCTGACAAATAATCCAGGCCCTGGGGTAGGACTCAGCACCCAGAGGCAACTCAGGAACCTTTTACCTCAGATTCTCGACAGGACATGAATTTTAAAACCACATGTTTAAGGTACTCGAAGTTGACCTCGCGGGCATCAGTCAGGTCAGCATTGCTTGTGACAGAAGGGGCCATGTTTGGCATCTCATGGCCAGGCTTCTCCCGGACTTCAAAAAGCTCATTATCGGGTCTGATTTTCTGAAAAACCAAAGGAAAGATGCTACACTGAACCGCTCAACACAGGCCAGAAAGTCCCATGGGAGAGTGACCTGGCCCACGCTATGACCACCGGCTGGTTCCCTGCCACATCCAGCGCAGAGCAGGGTGAGAACACCCTGTGCCCCCGCCAGGAAGGAACTGCCAGCAGCTGAGGGAGAAAGGTCACCTGGGAAAGTTCAGACATTTCTCTTATCTGTGTCAGGACACATGTCCTGGGGTGGTGAGCACTCAGCCAGGGCAGAGGTCCTGCTCTCCTATGTCTGGTCCTGGCACTCAGCCATTCAGATGCAGTGCCCCCATCACCTCACTGACTTCTCAGACAACATACAGGCTGAAGGAGGCATGTGCCTGAGGTCACACAGCCACTTCAGAGGCACAGCTGCTGTCCCACCAGCCAATATCTGATGTCCCAGAGACCCCTTGCAATCAGTGGGGAGAAGGGAAACATCAGACAACAAGGGACCCCAGGGCGACCAGAGAGCCAGGGAGGGCACAGGCAGCAGGGGAGGCGAGGGTACTCACCAGCTCCTTCTGCAGCGTCTTTTTGAGTTCCAGCATCCTCTGCTGCATCTGCTTTATGGCCTGAGACAAACCCCCACCCCGGCCAAAAGCCACTCATTAAATGTACATTTCACCATCTTTAAGGACAACAGAACAGACAGACACTCTCTTTGGTCCCCATACACCTGTTAGAAGTCTCTGCTCTGTCTCCTGAGAGGCTTGTGCTGTCAACCTGTGTGCCTGCTGCCACGGGCTCTTTCCTTCCCGTGGAGCAGCTGTGCACAGGTTTGCTCTTCAGGCCTATCAATGGCCACCAACTCATCACATAACCCTCTGCGGAGCATGCCAATGCCCCAGTGAGGACTGGGTCAGAGGACCAGGAAAGTCCCCAGGGACTCTGTCCTTAGGACTGCACCATGTGCTTGCCTCCATAGGTAGCACAGCTAGAAACATCTCTGTAGGTTGCTTTGTCTTTCAGAATTACATGTATGTGCCATGATTCCCCAAGTAGGACACCCAGCCCCGAATTCATGGTCCTCCTCACCATTATTGCTCTCCGGAAATACCATAATCTTTCATGCTTGCTTGAACGATATAAAGGGTCATGGTTTTTCTGCACAACCCACCAACACTGGTTTTTATATCTTTTACTTCTTTTTTTTTAGTGAGTTTAATTAGCATTATGAACCTTAAATGTAATTTATTACACATTCCACTAATCACCAGGCAGGCTGAACTGTGTTCCCAATGAAAACATTTACTGCATAAACAATACAAGAAAAATGTTAAAAAAAAATTTCTCCATATCAGAATGAGATTTTCCTGTGGATTTCTAGTCTATGTCACTATTATAGCATTGAGTAGCTACAATTTTGAATAGTGTTTTTCATTTATCAGTATTCTCACAGCTTCTTGCAGTTTTCCTAATTAAAACATTCAGTGTGACAGTGACTCTAGGGGACACTCCACGTCTTATTGTGTAGCTACATTTCCATGAAAAAATGTTTATTTGTTGCTTTTTCTTTGAGAGAGAGAGAGGAAGGGAGAGGAAGAGAGAAAGAAACATCAACTTGTTGTCCCATTTATTTATGAATGCATTGGTTGCTTTTTGTATGTGCCCTGACCAAAGATCGAACCCACAACTTTGGTGTATCGGGATGATTCTCCAACCAACTGAGCTACCTGGCCAGGGCCTGAGTTTCCTTTTTTTTTTCTTTTTTTTTGTATTTATCTTCAGATAGAGCATGAGGGAGAGAAGGAGGAAGAGAGAGAAACATTGATGTGAGAGACACATCGAGTCAAGTGGCTGCCATCCACATGACTCCAACTGGGGCCGGGGACAAACTGCAACCGAGGTACGTGCCCTTAGTGGGAACTGAACCCGGGCCTCTCTGGTCCGCAGGTTAATGCTCTAACCGCTGAGCCAAACCGGCCAGGGCTGAGTTTCCATTTTTATTTATTTATTTATTTATTTTATCCTCACCTGAGGACAGTTTTCCATTTTTTGTTCAGACAGAGTGGGAGGGAGGGGGGGAGAGAGAGAGAGAGAGAGAGAGAGAGAGACATCGATGTGAAAGGGACACATTGAGGGGCTGCCACCTGCACAACCAACCAGGGCTGGGGTAAACCGCAACCGAGCTACGTGCCCCCAGCAGGAACCGAACCCGGGTCTCTCGGGACCGCAGGCTGACGCTCTAACCACTGAGCCAAACCGGCCAGGGCTGAGTTTCCATTTTTAAACAAAGCCGTGATATGCTTTGTTTTCTCAAGAGCGGTATCTCTGCAGTCTCGCTGAGGGGACTGGGTCGGAGGACCCCGAGAGTCCTGTCGAGCACATTTAAACTGCCTCCACCACACTCCACTTGATAAAATGGTAAGGTGCTGTTTTAATCTGTATTCTCTTGGTTAACCATGAGGCTGGACATTCCTCTAAAAGTACATCTGCTACTTTATGTTACTTGAGTTTCTAGGATTTTGGCTCATTCATTAATCCAACAAATACTGATTATGGGCTGTCCTGGAGGCTGGGGAAATAGCAATCAACAAACAAATGTCTGCCCTCAGGAGGGAAACGTGTCAAAACAGAACATCAGAAGGCGAGGAGGAAAAGGGAAGGGAGGGGATAGGGAATTCTGGTGGTGAGGGCTGACAGGGATAGCTGGGGGGCCTCACTGACAGAATGGGACCATTGAGGAAGTAAGGGTATGTGGGGAGGAAGAATCTTCTAGACAGAAGGCTCCGCAAGTGCCAAGGCCTGGAGGCAGGATGGCGCTTGATATTCACAGAGGGCAAGGCCAATGTGCCTGAGCGGGGGTGCAGTGGAAAGGGTATTAAGGGGCCGGACCACACAGGACTGTGTGGACTTGGCTTTTATGAAGAGATGAAACTTAATCCAAGCCTGCAGACGGCTGGAACAGAAAAGTGACAGGGACACAGGTTGGAAACCCAACACTGTTCTCTAAGGAAGAGGATGGCAGCAGGGGTGGGGCTGGGAAGCAGCTGGTACAATATAAAGGGAGATCTAAACGGACGTGTAATGGTTTGGATGTCGAGAGGGTTGAGGACCACTCCAAGGATTCTGCCATTGACTGAGGTAGGAAAGATGGCAGTAGATGCTCCACAGCATGTACATCTGAAGTTTGGTTTTGGATGTTTTAAGCTTCCGATGCCACTTAGACATTCCTGAGGAGGCATAAAGCAGACCGATACGGGAGTCCCGAGTTCACGGAACTGTGTGGCGTTGGCGTGTGGTGTGGGAGCCAGCGGCACGCAGTATGGCTGAGGTCACCGAGGGAGTGGTGCCCTTTAGGGAAAAGCTGAGGGCGGGACCTGGGGCACAGTGTCTGTGTGCTTCTCTGTGGCTATTTTATATTTAACAGAAAAAGATTAAATGTATGTGGGGAGAAGAGAAGGAGGGAGAGGAGGGAAGGGGGAGAGAAGAGGAGGGAGGGGAAGGAGAAAGAGAATGAACACTTTTCCCCTTTATTAAAGATTAAAAAAAACAAACTCCTGGCCGGTTTGGCTCAGCGGTTAGAGCATCGGCCCACAGATCAAAGAGTCATGGGTTTGATTCCAGTCGAGGGCACATACCTCAGTTGCAGTTCAGTCCCTGGCCCTGGTCGGGGTCATGCAGCGGGGGGGAGGGGAGGGGCAGCCAATTAATATCTCTCTCTCATGGATCTTTCTCTCTTTCTCTCTCTCCTCCTCCTTCCCCCCCACTCTATCTGAAGATAAATGGAAAAATACCCTCAGGTGAGGATTTAAGAAAAAAAAAAAAGACACACACAATCACACAATTTGAGGGCAGAATTTCGGGCCAGAGCACTAACTAGTCAACACACTGAACCTCACAGGGCACTTTAAAAACCAGGATCAAAGGACACCTGCATTTAGGTGCAGAGGACTGCCGGGGAGGGCGGAATCGACAGTGAATTAACCTCTACCAAATCCCAGACATTCCGCAGGACAGCTAACGTACACTAGCATTTCATTCCCCAACAGCCCCCCAGACTCTCCCCGCAAAACCACTTAAAGGCAGGTATCACCGCTATCACTTCACAGCTACAGAAAGGAAGGCCACAGGAACGGCGAGAACGTGGGTCCCATAGGACCCAGCTGGTGACAGCAGAGGAAGCTGGGAGCACCTACACTTGCTGCACAGCTCAAGCTCTTCTGGACAGTGTATAAAGTGGGGGGCAGGGGAGAAGATGGGGAGTGTGAAAGGGCAAGAACGCAGGAGGGAAACAGAAGAGGAAAACCAAGAAAAAGCCCTTTTCCTGAAAGAGTGTCTCCCCCAAGAGGTGCCCAGGAGCATAAGCAAAACTCTCAGAAGGGACGAAGTGATTTCAGGCACAAGGACAGGGAAGGGCAGAGATGTACGCGGCTGAGGTAAAGAGAATCCTTACCTTATTTCTCTCTAGAAGTTGCTGCTCCAGGTCCTGTTTTTCCTTTTGTAGCTGCTCTAGGTCCATGGCCCCCACCTCACCATTTGGTATTCCCTCCGCAGGCGGAAGCGGGTACGCCGGGTCCCGCACGGCCCTCGAGGTTACCTACAGGTGGGGGCAGCAAGGACGGGGGCAAGCTAAGCCACAGGCCTATGGGAGGGGGACCAGACTCATTCCAAAGGTGTGGACCGGTGTGCTCCAATCACCAAGAGCTAAACAAAGTGTGGAGAGCCCGCCTGATGCCTTCCAGAGGGACAATCACTCTCCGTGCAACAAGTCTGCTCGGAAGGAAAGGGCTGTGACACCTGAACAGACAGGCTCCTCAAGACTCACCACCTCCAAGTCGGCTCTGCAGCCCATCCTCAAGAACGCTAGGGCATCCCTTAGCTAGTGAACCCAGCGTGCTTCCCTGTGGCTGCCCACTGCTGCCCCTACCGGCAGACTGCAGCTTCACCCTGCGGCCTGGAGGGCCCACCTGGGACCCACCTGAAGCTCGCTGACTGAGAGGGCCAAGCCCTGCTCCTGGCCTGGCAGCCTCAGCAGGTCCTCCCGCCTGGCGGCTGCCTCGGACTCCTCTGCCCTCAGGCTGCGCAGGGCCTGCAGCTCACTCCGCAGCTGGTGCGTCTGCAGCAGGGCAGCGTCATGACCTAGGCCAGGCCGAGGGGAGGGGAGCACGGTGAGCCCTGTGACTCCATGCTGCTTCACGTCTGGGCCACATCAGGGCGGGGTGCTAGGCAGGAACAGGGCAGACTCCTCACCTTTCTTCAACTGGAGAATCTCCTGCTCTTTCTGGAGAACCGTGGCAGTTCTTTCCTGCAGACTCTGCTCCTTCTCATCTACTATGGATGTCAGGTTAGCAGCCTTGGAGAGAAAACCAACCTGAGAGAAGGCTGGTAGCAGTAACCCCCTCTCTTCCAAAGGCATCTCTACACTTCCACACCCCAGGGTCCCCCATGAGTCCCTCCCTGAAGTCCACCTAAACATGCCCCAGGCTCACCTCTGCTCCAAGAATCATGCACAAATCAATTCTCTTTGGCGGGGACCCTGCACAGGGGCAATTGCCCTCACTGCCCCTCTGGCCTGCACTGGGCCGACTAGAGACCTGGCCATTCTGCTCAGCCTTCCAACAAGCTGTTATAAGAGTAACTTCCACGTCCTGTGTGCCTGCGACATGCCTGGCCTTTGCTATGCACGACCTCATTAAGATACTGTGGAAAGGCCCTGGCCGGTTTGGCTCAGCGGTTAGAGCATCGACCTGCGGTCCAGAGAGACCTGGGTTCTCAGTTGCAGTTTGTCCCCGGCCCTGGTTGGGTTGTGTGTGGGGCAGCCACTCAATATGTCCCTTTCATGTTGATGTTTCTCTCTTTCTCTTCCTCTCTCTCCCTCCCACTCTATCTGAACAAAAAATGGAAAAATGTCCTTGGGTGAGGATAAAAAGATCTCATGGAAAGTGTGATGATCCCAGAGTCTCTTTAAAGGCACCTCTGAGACTCTGTTAAGGACGTAGCCAAGGCCTAGAGCCAACTCACTGGAGGTCTGGGGCTGATACTGAGTCCACCTTCAAAGGAAGGCTCTTCCCACCTTCCCGGCTGAGAGCTCATCTGTATGTGCCCACCTCGCGGAATGAGAGTGCCCAGTAGGTACTTGGGTGTGGGCTCTTTCCTGGCTGATGTTTATAATAACTATCACAAGTCCAAAAGGCTATCATATGGGGTGAGGGTTTCTTTATAACATTTTCTTCCCGCCTTCCTAGAGACTTCAGGGGAATCACGCAGCTGTCAGCATTCCTGAGACCTGTGCCCGAGCCCTGCCCTGGGCATGGGGAGGCAGGTGGTCCTGCTGGGACTGAGGTGGGGCCCCTTCGGCCTACCTGTTGCTGGAACTCCTCCCTCTGCTTCCGCACTTCCTCCAGGGCTTGAGCCATTGCCACGCTCACAATTTCTCTTTGGCTCCATTCTTCCTACAATCCAGAAAGTGGGTCAAAGGTTGAGCCCAGAAATTCAGCGCATACTTTTTCAGCTCTCAATTCACATGAAGCCCACTGAGGGAGCTTGCTGGGCCAGACTAACACGTTCCTGCTTCCTGAGGTTCCCAGGCGGCCCCTCGCTGCGCTGCCCTGGGGACAAGCCCCCAGCCTCCCAGGAAACAAGCACACTGCGTGAGCACAGCAGCCAGTCCTGGGCCGAGGCGGGGGGCCAAGGATCAGAAGAGCTGATCTAATCAAATCAACACAGAACAAGAAAGACTCTTGGGTTCGTGTGAATGGTGTACTAGACCAGTCTGGTTACAGAAAAAATAGGAAGCAATTACTGAATTTTAATAGGGTAAAATGTCACAGGCTCATCAAAACCACCCATTTTATCAGAGAAAACCGAGGCTCTGAGAGGTTAAGAAATCTGCCCAGATTTCAAGCTGGCCCCTGCCTGGGCTCAGAGCCAAGCCTCTGGATGTCAGACTGCAGCTCCCGGGACCTTCCACCGTGAGCAGGCCGCCTCATCGGCCTTCCCCAGGGCACAGGGACCAACTCCCTCTCCCCAGGGGTGGATCCTGCGCTCGCCCATCAACCCCCGATGAATAGGACTTCTTAGGTGCGCACATTACTGGCAGGGATGTCTGCTGCTTCTGTCTACCCAGAATCACCCCCCCCCCCTTTTAGGTAAGAGTCTCATCATTGCCATTCCCCACTCCCAGCCCGCGATTCTGCATGGTTCTAGTAGGGCTGCCAGTAATGATGGCCCCATTTGGTGGCTACAAAGTCAGCATGTAATTCAGGCCTGGCCGATCATAGTACTTCATCCCCTTGGCCAAATCGATTTGTCCAAAGGGTGACTCTCACCCAAGATGAACCAATCAGAATCCCTTTTTACATCAGAATCCTTTTTATATGGTGAAGCTGAGGGAGAAGCCCTCTTTCCCCTGGGGTTGCTAAGCTGGAAGGTTACCAGCTTGGAGCGGCTGTGGTGACGTCCTCCCATCCTCCCAATCTGTAGGATGCAGTCTACATCATGGAGGTAAGCAAGCACAAGAGTTGGGTGACCTCCATGGCAAGAGACAGCATGACACAGAGAAGAGAACCTGAGGCCCCAGGTTCCAGTGAGACAAGTCTTTCTGGTTCTGTGAGCTACTCAAGTGCTCCTATGAAATCCCTTCCCACATAAGCCAGGACGAGTGGGTTAGTGGAGGGAGACGACAGCCTCATGTGCAGTGATGTTCTGGCTCCGACTGTAGAGTCGTCAGGACTGACCTTCACTGTCCACGTCCACATCTAGCAGTCAAGGAAAACTGGTGCCTGAATTAAAAAAGCTGATTGTGGCACCTTGAACTACCCCAGACAACACCCCTCCCTGGGGACATTCTGTCGCTAAGAGGGGCAAGAGGTTTCAGGCTGGTGGAGCTGTGCAAGCCTGGCCCTGTGTGCCCAGGGGAGAGGGGAATAGAAAGGTCAAGCCTCTGCAGCAGCCTCGTCTGGGGAAGTTTAGAAGAGACACTAGACTGCTGATGTCTTAAGAGGACAGGACGCAGACTGTGAGCGAGAAGACAGGGAAGCAGGTCAGGGCAGGAAGCAGAGACTCAGCACCTCTGTGGCAGGAACTGCACTAAGCACTTTCCAGCCATGGTCATGCTTGGTCCTCAGGGTAATCCCCTGGAGGTCACGGGTTTAAACAAAGGACACTGAATTCCCTCCAGAACCAGCTAGTGACAGGCTAGGCTGGCACGCAGAACTGAGTCTCTGGCTCTAAAGTCTGTGCTGCTGCCACAGAGACATGCACTCCAGGCCCACGGGAGTTGTGGCCGACGGGCACAGCCCAGGCTGGCTGCAGGAGCCAGCAGGCTACCTGCATGTGTCCCTGAGGGGCCCAGAGAACAGCTGTTTCAAAAAATATGAATATAAACCACTGTAAATACGTGTGCACATAAAAATAGTGCTTCAAAATACTCAAAGCAAAGACTGACCAAACTAAAGGGAACGAGACAAATGCACGACCACAGTGGAAGAGTTAGCACACCCTCTCAGTTAACTGATGGAACAAGTAGACAAAAAATCAGAAAACAGAAAAGATCTGAATACTACCACCAACTTGATTTAATTAGCACTCAGAATGTTCTCCTTAACAGCAGTAGACATATATTCTTTTCAAGTGCACTGAAATATTTACAAAGATAGACAGATTGGGTCTTAAAACAAGTCTAAGTAAATATCATGACTGAAATCATTTAGAGTATTATCTGACCATAACGGTATTAACCTAGAAATCCAAGACATTGAGAAAATTCCCCAAACATTTGAAAATGAACCACACTTCTAAACAGCCTGTGCGCACTGCTTTTAAGTCACTGCCTCCCACCCACACCCACCTCTCTATTCTGCTTTGTGATGCTGCACCTGGGACCCTGCAACCACATTTCCCCACACCCTGCTGGCTCCATATTCATCTCTGCCAAACAGGGAGACGGAAGGCAGGAGAGAGAGACTTGCTCTTCTGGGAGCTTCCTGTTTCTGTGAGCAATGCTGCTTCACCCCCAGTGGCAGCAACTTCTTCCTGAAGCAGCAACTGCATTCACACTGCAGTTTTTCCAACACTGGGGGCTGAATTCATTCACTGCTCCACCCCCAACACACACCCGAGTGCCACCGGTACAGCATCGCCCACTGGAGGTCTGGGGGTCAGGTCTGTGGGGCTCCTCGTCTTCACTCCTAACTTTAATGATTCCAGCTTCTTTACTCATTCCCTTAGTCCTGGAGTTGGAAGCTGTCTCCTTTAGTCGCTCCCTTTGTGATATCTTTTAACTGTTTCAGTGCTGGATTAAACACTTTACATTAGAACATAAATTCTCATTCAAATAACTGGGCTGGTTCCTTTCTCCTGACCGGACCATGAATTACACACTGGAGGTCAGATTTTCTGTTTCTTCTCATGTACATATTTGCAATAATCATTGTTCTTCATTCTTTCTTACCTCCTTACATTCTTCATACTTCCATCTAGAATTTTCTTTCACCTGAAAGGTACTCTTCAGTACTTCCTTCAGGAAAAAGTCTGTCTGCTTTTGTTTTATTGGTTTTCTTTAGTTCTACTACCATGCTGTGTCTGTGTACGGATCTGAATGGTTCTTACACCTGTACCTGTGCCGTGACAGCTTCCAGCAGTTTGGAAAATTCTTAGCCATTATTTCTCTCTTTTTTTTTTTATCTTCACCTGAGTACACTTTTCCATATTTTGTTCAGATAGAGTTGGAAGGAGAGAGAGAGAGAAACATAGACGTGAAAGGGACACATCGAGTGGTTGCTACCCGCAGGATCCAACCAGGGCCGGGGACAAACTGCAACCGAGGTATGTGCCCTTAGCGGGAACTGAACCCGGGTCTCTCTGGACCACAGGCTGATGCTCAGAGCCAAACCGGCCAGGGCATTAGCCATTATCTCTTAAATAACTGCTCCTGACTAGTTTGTTTCATTTCCTTCCGGGCCCCCTAGTAACACATGATACTTCGCAGTATCCTGTCTTTTATCATTCTTTTCTGTATTTCATTCTGCTTTTTCTTTCTTTTCATGAATTCTTTCTTTAGTTCTAATCATTGTTTTTTAAAACAGCTTTACTGAGCCCTGGCCGGTTTGGCTCAGGGCTTAGAGCGTTGGCTCGCGGACCAATGAGTCACAGGTTCGATTCTGGTCAAGGGCAAGTGCCCTTGATTCGTCCCTGGCCTTGGTTGGGGTGGTGCGGGAGGCAACCACTCGATGTATCCCTTTCACATCAATGTTTCTCTCTCTCTCTCCCTCCCACTCTATCTGAACAAAAATGGAAAAATGTCCTCGGGTGAGGATAAAAAATATAAATAAATAAAACAGCTTTACTGAAGTATAACTGACAAATAAGAAACTGAATATAGATACCCTGCTGGTTTTGCTCAGTGGTTACAGTGTCAGCCCTTGGACTGGGGAGTCCCAGGTTCGGTTCCCGCTATGGGCACATACCTTCGTTGCAGTTCATCCCTGGCCCCGGTTGGGGGTTGTGCCGGTGGAAACCAATTGATGTGTTTCTCTCACATTGATGTTTCTCTCTCTCTCTCTCTTCCTCCCTCTTTCCCTCCTGCTCTATCTGAAGATAAATGCAAATAATATCCTTCAGTGAACATAAAAAAAAGAAAAAGAGACTGAATATGTTTAAAGTGAGCAATTTGAAGAATTATGGTGAAAGTATCACTAAAAATAGTGAAAATACCCATCATCCCAAACATTTCCTCATGTCTTTTTTTTTTTGGTTAATCATTACCTGAGGATATTTTTCCATTAATTTTTAGAGAGTGGAAGGGAAGGAGCGGGAGAGAGAGAGAGAAATATCGATTGGTTGCCTTCTGCATGACCTCGACCAGGGCTAGAGATTGAACCCAGGTATGTGCCCTTGACCAGGAATTGAACCCGCAACTCTTTGGTCCATGGGCCGACACTCTAACCGCTGAGCCAAACCAGCCAGGGTTCTTCATGTCCTTTTATAATTTACTACATTCTTAGTTTCAGCTATTGCATTTTTCAGTTCTAAAAGTCTAATTTGATTCTTTCTCAAAATTGCTGTCTTTTATTATAGTTTTCAAATCCCTGCTGAAATTTTCCATCTGTCCTTTACATGCGAGCATAGTAATATCTGGGTCTCCTAGCACATCTCCCTGCTTCCTTACAGAACATTCTCCACACACAGCCAGAGTGATCCTTTTCAAAAAAACTTCTCCTAACCCTTCCCTGCTTCAGCCCCTCCATGGCCTCCCTGCCCACCTCCTCTCCTCTGCTGCTGTCCCCAGCCCACCAAGCAGTAGCCGCACCACCTTTGTGCTGTTTCCTGAACAAACCAAGCTTTTTTCTACCTCAATGCCTTTCTATTTACTATTGCTTCTGTGTAGAATATTCCTTCCCCAAACATGGCCCTTTCTCATTAGTTGGAGCTTTGCTCAAATACCATGGAAGCCCGCCCTAGCCTCCACATCTCAAGCCCTCTCCTCCCTGCTCTGTCCTTCACCCTTTCTTTTCTTCATAGCATTCATGACTATCTCTTGTGTACTGTTTCTAGTTACAAGCTCCACCACATCCCAGCACCTAAGATGGTGCCTACAGGGTCTCAAGTGTTCGTTGTAGGAATGTATGAGAAAACATCTGACTCCCAAGTGCGGCTCCCACATCGGGTTCTACTGCCACTGCACCTACAGAACTTAGCAGACTGTTCCTGACAGCTGGCTCAGGGCAGGCCCTCGGCTATGGGTGGCTGCAGAGAAAATTCACAACATCTTTGTGTCATGACCAAGCTGGGCAAGTACTGCAATGACCCATCTTCCGCTAGAGACGGGGGCCCAGAGGCCCATGAGAAAGTGGCAGATTCTCTCTGTCTTCCTCGCCCAGTTATGTTCAGAAAATGAAGGGGCAGCATCTGACTAAAGCACCAAGCTCTCAGAAGGGGAAGGGCAGTGATCCAGCCCACTGTTTCCTCATCTATGTACATGGTGCCCGACATAAACACACAAACCAGGTCCTGTGACCTTCTGAGGCCTTGCTTTGCTCGTCTCCCTGGAAAGTCACGAGCAGTGGTGCTCTGACAGTGGCACTTTCAGGCAGCTCCTGACGATGCCACAGAGGAAGGGCTGGGCCTCTGGTGGAGTGAAAAGTCAGACCAGCACCGCCTCTCAGTAACTAGGGAACGTGGACAAATGATTTACACTCAGAACCTCAAAGACAACAGAAAAATGAGCGTAATTCTTCCTGCCGTCCGGGATCAGAGAGGACTCAGTGAGGTGACGATTTCTAGCAAAGGCCTAACAGAACCACTGAACACATGCTAGTTGCACTGCTCATCTATGTGAAAGGCACGCGCTCGTGCAACACCTGGAATCAGTGAACTGAATACCTTGAGCTTCTTTAGTTCAAGTTGGTGATGTTGTAAAGAACGTTCACACTCATTCTTGCTTTCTTTAAGGAGCGCGTTTTCTTGTTCCAGGTCCCTCTGCAAAGTGAGAAAAGCATAGATAAAAAGAAAAGGTCTCTACCATATTTCCCCTGGGCACAGTCCTACCTCTTTGACATGCAAGCTTTATTTTTTTATCCTCACCAGAGGACATTTTTGCATATATCTTCAGATAGAGTGGGAGGGTGAGATGGGGGAAGAGAGAGAGAGAAACATGGATGTGAGAGAGACACATCAACTGGTTGCCACCCACAGGGCCCCAACTGGGGCTGGGGACAAACTGCAACCAAGGTATGTGCCCTTGTTGGGAACCGAACCCAGGACTCTCCAATCTGCGGGTTGACGCTTTAACTGCTGAGCCAAACCAGCCAGGGCAGACGTGCAAGCTTTAAAAATGCCTCCCATCCTTTTGTTGAGAGATGAGATAGGGGTGGGGAAGAACCACCTGACAAACTCCTCACAAAAAGAAAGATGCATCAGATTCTGAGGTTTCAGGAACAGGGGAGGGGCCAGAGAAAGTAGCCATTAGGGAAGAACACTGTAAACTTTATTTTATTTTATTTTATTTTTTTTGTTAATACTCACCGGAAGATATTTTTCCATTGATTTTTAAATTTTATTTATTTATTTATTTTAATCCTCACCTGAGGATATTATTTTTTATTTATCTTCAGATAGAGTGGGAGGGAGAGAGGGAGAGAAAGGGACAGAGAGAGAAACATCGATGTGAGAGGGACACATTGACTGGTTGCCTCCCACATGACCCTGACCAGGGCCTAGGATGAACCACAACCTAGGTATGTGCCCTTGGCCAGAACTGAACCCCGGACTCATTGGTCCGATGGCTGATGCTCTCCCTCTGAGCCAAACTGGCCAGGGCTCCATTGATTTCTTAGAAAGTGGAAGGGAGGGAGGGAGAGAAAAAGAGAGATATCAGTGTGAGGGAGACACATGGATTGGTTGCCTCCTGCATGACCCCTAATAGGCCGGATCGAACCTGCAACTCAGGTATGTGCCCTTGACCAAAATCGAACCCACAACCGACGTTCTAACCACTGAACTCAACCGGCCAGGGCGAACAATGTAAATTTTAGAAAGACAGTGGCAAGAAGCTGATGGGAATGGTCAGGAAGCATCAGGAAGTCCCTGTGCAGCCCAAGGAAAAGGAGAAGCTATCTGTTTGGGTTTTTGTGAAAAACAGCCTTTTTACATCTAGTTTCCCAAGCAGGTGTCTTGTTGGAAAGAACAACTGCTCCTATAAGTGGTTCCCTAGCCCTGGCCAGTTTGGCTCAGTGGTAGAGCATCAGCCCGCAGATCAATGAGTCGTGGTTTCAATTCCAGCCAAGGGCACGTACCTCGGTGTGTGTGAGGCAACCAGTCGACTGCCTCTCACGCCAATGTTTTTCTCTCCCCTTTTCTCCCTCTCTCTCCCTCCTACTTTATCTGATAATAAACAGAAAACATCCTCGGGTGAGGATTAAATAAAAAATGGTTCCCTAGTTCAGAGCAGGGCGGTCTTCTTGTGAACCTGGTGCTGAGCAGCCCAGCGTCAGTCCTTCCTCACTCACCACCTGACGCTCTGCAGCCGTCTGGTCAGCCGCCCGAGCCGTCTCAAGGGCAGCGAGCTGGGCCTCCAGCGCGTGGACGTGCTCTGTGCACTGCTGCTGCAGAGTGAGCACCTGCCGCTGCGCACGGCTGCTCTCCTGGTTTGCAGTGGCCTGCCGGGGACCAGAGGACAGTTATTCACAGGGTCAATGGGGGCCTCACTTTGTTTCTCAGTGACCCAAAGAGGGGTGCCCAATACAAACAACTCTCTTTCCTGATCTTCTCCAGCCTGGGTGCTGCCAGGGTCCCTACCTGCAGGCTCTGCCTATTGCCCCCACGCCCTAGCCTGCTCAGGAGCTGATGTCTGGGAATGGTCTTGGTGCTGGGGGAACAGCTCTGGGCTCCAGCCAGTCCTAAGACACAGCCTTCCCGCACCATACTCAGTGCAGACTCTACAGTGGCGGCTTTCCCCTGGGAGGCAGTATAGCCCAGTGATGAAGAACAAGGGCTGGGCATGAGAAGAATTCGGTTCTGTAATTTACCAGCTTGGAGACCATGGCCTAGTGGCCTGGTCTTTCTGAGCCTGCTTGCTCTAGAAAATAAGGATAACAGTACATACCTCTTGGGTCTGCTGCAAGGACTAAAGGAAAACACATGCAGAGTACTTAGCACAGTGCTGGGGACTGGGTCAATCATGCAATGAATGCCATTTTTATTTCTCTAGTTGCTAATTTAACACTCCTTCTGAGGCTGCAATGTCTAGTCAAACCCTTGCCACCTTCTCCCAAGAACCTGTACCTGCTCTCCAAAGCTCTGGCTCCAGGCTGAGGTTTGACTGCCGGTGGAGGTACCACCTCTAATAGTCCCACAACTAAGCGGGGCCCTCCCTGCCTCTCTGGGCAACTCAGAGCCCCAGCAGGCCCCGACTCCCTCGACCTGCCGCTGCCCAGCTGCCCGGGCCCAGCACGTGTGTATCTGAAGTCAGGTCTAGATACCATTGAGGAAGGTGGGGCACCTATAAAGGCATAAAGGGAAGGCATCGAGGGCCTAGACCACAGCAGCCACAGTACCCACTTACAAGCTCCTGAATCTGAGCTTCCTGAGCGGCCACGGCGTCCCTGCTCTGCTTCAGCTTCTCCTCAGAGGCCTGCAGGCTCTGCTCTAACTCCTCCACCTGAGGGGACAGAAGCATTCTTTCACCAGTGCGGCTCCGTTGGCTGGAGCGTTGTTGTCCTGTGGACCAAAAGGTCATGGGTTCGATTCCCGGACAGGGTGCATATGGGAGGCAAGTGATCGATGTATCTCTCTCACATCAATGATTCTCTTTCTTCTCTCTCTCTCCCTCCCTCCTTTTCTCCTTCTCTAAAATCAATTTTAAAAATTTTGTTTCCTAGAAAAAACTGAGAGTAAAAACAAATGGCTTTAAAAACCAAATCAATTTAAGTCAGAAATCAGATACATTATTGAAAAATTTTAAATTAGGAAATAAATACCCATAGTTCTACTACTATAAAACACTATCATTTTAATGTATTCTCTTCCAATCTGTTATTAGGACTTTTAAAAATAACGATGTATAGATTCTAGTAAAATTATTTTTCCTCCTCAAAAGTTTTCTTCTGTGTTTTCATGTGGTCTTCAGACCTCATATTATTTTCTCTCTCTCTCTCTTTTTTGGTGGTATATGCCCCTAGCGGGAACCATACCCGGGACTCTCTGGTCCACAGGCTGACGCTCGACTGCTGACTCAAACTGGCCAGGGCCTCATATTATTTTCTCAAAGGATAGCCCAGCCAGTGTGGCTCAGTGGTTGAGCATCAACCCATGCACCAAGAAGCTGACAGTTCGATTCCTCATCAGGGCACATGCCCAGCTTGTGGGCCAAATCCCTAGTAGGGGGCATGCAGGAGGCGACCTATCGATATTCTCTCTCATCGATGTTTCTCTCTCTCTCTCTAAAATCAATAAAGAAAAAAAAAAGGATGTTCCAGAATTTGCTCTACTACTGCCTACTGTACTGGCTCTTGGGTTCTTTCCCTTTTCCCATCCCAAAGAATACAGCAGTTAACATCTTTATGCAAATTTTTTTATCTGTTTGATTCGCTTCCTTAGGACAGATTCCAAGAGGTAGGATTACTGTTCTGACACAAATTTTGGTTTCATTCATTCCACAAATATCGACCCAGTCTGACTACAACGTACCTGGCCCCACACAGGAACACGGGCCTGGCCCAGTGGACAGGATGACAACATACTGCCCAGCACTTAGCTAGCCTCACTCTCCAATGGGGCATTTTTATCCGACTCCAGCTATCTGCCGACCTCTCTTATACAGCCCTCGTTTGTGGAATAAGGTCTGCTCTTGGGGAACTTTATTATCAGTACATAAGCACAAGAAGGTGGCAGCTTGTCAAGGAGAGTTAGGTACCCAAGGAAAAGAGGATATTTTTAGGTTTCATGGTTCCTCAGATACACTCACATTACATGACTTAACTACAACAACCCATGAGAACAGTGTGAGTACTTCCATAGTGGAGACCAGTAATGTCACTTGTCCATGATCAGAAACATTATTAGTGGTAGAGCCAGGACTGAAACCGAGCTTTTAAATTCCTGGGTTCAGAAAATATCTACTCAAGTCCCAGTTAGAGGCAGAACTCAAGAACGATTTCCGACCTTCAAAAGGTTAAGTAAGCTCAGAGTTACTATACATCCCGGCAAGTCCACTCCTAGGTCTACACCTAAGAGAAGTGACACAAAAACCTGTTCTGCACTACACTCGTGTTCAAGCAGCGTTACCCACAATAGCCAAAAGGTGGAAACAACCCAAATGTTCATGACAAATGAATGGATGAACAAATTGTGCTATATCCTTTCAATGAACAAAAAGCCTTAAAATGGCTTACTCAATCTTAAAAAGGAATGAAATTCTGACACATGCTACAACATGGATAAACCTTGAAGACATTATGCTCAGTGAAATAAGTCAGACACAAAAGAACAAATATTGTATGATTTCACTAATATGAGCTACCTAGATTTGTCAAATTCACAGAGACAGAAGGTGGACTGGAGGTTGCCAGGGGCTGGGGAGGAGAGAATGGGGAGCTACTATTTCATTGGGGGCAGTTTTAGTTCTGAGAAGATGAAAAAGATCTGGAGGCAGATGGTGGTGATGGTTGCACGTGAATGTACTTATTGCCACCGAATTATACACCTAGAAATGGTTGAAATGGTAAATTTTACATTATGTATATTTTATCACAACAAAAAAATAGATAGTCAGAAATAAAATGGCCCTGGCCAGGTAGCTCAGTTGGTTAGACCATCATCCTGATACTCCAAGGTTGTAGGTTTGATCCACAGTCAGGGCATATACAAGAATCAACCACTGAATGTATATATAAGTAGAACAACAAATCGATGTTTCTCTCTCTCTCTCAAAAAAAATCAGTAAAAAAAATTAAATTAAAAAACCCGGAATTATAATAAAGCTTTAAAATATATTTATGAGAAAATAAGACTTTTTTAAAATCCTCACCCAAGGACATTTTTCCATTTTTTGTTCAGATAGAGTGGGAGGGAGAAAGAAAGAAAGGGAGAAACATTGATATGAAAGGGACACATTGAGTGGTTACCGCCCGCACGACCCAAGCAGGGCTGGGAACAAACTGCAACTGAGGTACATGCCCTTAGTGGGACCCGAACCCGGGTCTCTCTGGACCACAGGCCGACACTCTAACCGCTGAGCCAAACCGGCCAGGGCAGAAAATAAGATTTTTACAAAATAAGCCCAGCTGGTGTGGCTCAGTGGTTGAGCGTTGACCCATGCACCAAGAGGTTGCCAGTTCGATTCCTGGTCGGGGCACATGCCCAGGTTGTGGGCCAAATCCCCAGTGGTGGGCATGCAGGAGGCGGCCAATCGATGTTCTCTCTCATTGATGTTTCTATCTGTCTCCCTTCCTTCTCTCTAAAATCAATAAAGAAAAAAAAATTTTTACAAAATGAGCTAAATTGCTATGGTCTCAAAGTCTGTGCCCTCCCCTCCAATTCATATGCTGAGATCTTGGTGTGGGGCCTTTAGGAACTGCTTAGGTCATAAGGATATTGCCCTCATGAATGGTATTAGGGCTTAAAGAGGCCCCAGAGATCCCTTGCCCCTCCCACCACTTCACACTCCTTAAACTGGCAAAAAAATAAAAAGGCTAGGAAATATCAATGTTGGAAAACCCCCCAAGAGGCAGATACAGGAACCGCCATGCATGCTGGGGGACTAGAGCCAGGTGCAGCCCTGCTGGGGACATCCTTGTCCTGCTTAGTCACAGGAGGTTACATGCATTCTCTCTTCTCCTCAGGCCACAGGGACAGGATGTTCACTCCAGTGTAACCTGTGGTGACAGGGAGAAGGCCATCTGCAAGTCTGTCATCTAGCAGAAAACTGCAGAGTGGCTAAGGACAGTGAAGTGGACGCTGACAGAAGACGAGCGGTTGAAGGTAAGAGAGAAGACATATGCATCGCTGTACCCTCTACATACATTAATATACCTGCACACAAAACAATGCCACATATTTTGGGGTAACCCAACAACAGAAGGATCTCTATTAACCACGTCAGAATGGTTCCCTCCAGGAGGAAGAGAGATGGGGATAAAAGGAAACAAACAAGAAGACAACTCTGTGTAGAACGACACTGACAACGTGGCAAGAATGAAGAGATACAGGTAAGATCCAAAAAACAGTCCCTTCCAACGAAAATCTCTGACTCAAGGGGATTCTCAGCCACAACCAAGTCATCCAACAAAGTTACCACCCAGACACAGTGATCACGGGGAGTAAGGTCAGTACCCGCGTCTCTAGGATGTCAATGGCCTTGGCCTGGCTGCTTCTGGCTGCCAAGAGCTGCTGCCTGGTATCTTCCAAATTCTGCTCAGCAACTGTTTTCTGTAAGTGGAGAAAATTAAAGACAGTCACTGAATAAACATTTACTGATATCCACAACATACTGTAATTTGTATAAGACTCAAAGGACACAAATACATTTAAAAAAACCAGGTAATTAAGATAAAATTCACATGTTATAAAGTATACACAGATCAATTTGACAGAGTTCTTTGCCCTTGAGGCTGGGGCAAAAGAGTACCACAAGCCCTGGCCAGTTTTGCTCAGCGGTTAGAGCGTCGGCCTGCGGTCCTGAGAGACCCGGGTTCGGTTCCCGCTAAGGGCACGTACCTCGGTTGCAGTTTGTCCCCGGCCCTGGTGGGTTGTGCGGGTGGCAGCCACTCGATGTGTCCCTTTCACATCGATGTTTCTCTCTCTCTCTCTCTCTCTCTCTCCCCCTCCCACTCTACCTGAACAAAAAATGGAAAAATGTCCTCGGTGAGGATAAAAAAAAAAATTAAAAAAAAAAAAAAGAGTACCACAAAAATTATAATAGAATACCATGGTGCCCACAAGACGGAGTACAGAGCAGGGGATGCGCATGCCTCAGGGAAGTGGGAGGCCTCCTAATGCACAGGTGGCTGGGGGAACACCCGGACAGGATGGCCAATGCAGGTGGAAACAGCCTGGGACATTTGGGGAACTACAACTTGGCCAAAAGAGAAAGTGATGGTGGGCTCAGGCTCAGGTCAAGAAACAAGACTAGAAAGTGAGGCAAAGGGCCAGATCACAAGAAGCTTTTTATGCTGCAGAAAGAAGTTTGAACTTAATTCTGCAGGCAATACTTCTCAAAGTGGAGTTGTCCAAATTCTGGCATTAAAACTTAATTGGGGCCCTGGCCAGTTTTGCTCAGTGGTCAGAGCATCGCCCTGCACACCAAAGGGTTGTGGGTTTGATTCTAGTCAAGGGCATGTACCTGGGTTGCAGGTTCAATCCCTGGCCCCGGTTGAGATCGTGCAGGAGGCAACCAATCTATGTGTCTCTCACATCAATGTTTCTCTCTCTCTCTCTCTCTCTCTCTCTCCCTCCCTCCCTTCTCTACCTAAAAATTAATGGAAATATATGCTCAGGTGAGGATTAACAAAAGAACACTTAACTGCTGGGAAGGGTGTGGGGTTAAACTTGAGGCTTTACTCCAGGTCTATTACTCCAGACATCAGAATTTCTGATGGCAGGGCCAGAGATACATACTTTAATGATTTTTTTATTTTATTTTATTTTTTTATCCTCACCTGAGGACATTTTTCCATTTTTTGTACAGATAGAGTGGGAGGGAGAGAGAGGAAGAGAGAGAGAGGGAAACATCGATGTGAAAGGGACACATCGAGTGGCTGCCACCCACACGACCAACCAGGGCCGGGGACAAACTGCAACCGAGGTACATGCCCTTAGCGGGAACCGAACCCGGGTCTCTCCAGACCGCAGGCGGACGCTCCAACCGCTGAGCCAAACCGGCCAGGGCCAGAGATACATACTTTAAACAAACTCCCCAAGTTACTCCTATGCACACTAAACTTTATAATAATGATGATGGCACAGTAATGATTATAATAGTAATAGCTGAATTATGTTCTAAGCCTCATTCTAAGCATTCACATATTGTAACTCATTAAATCCTAGTAACAACTCTGCATTTGGTACAATTAATAACCCTATTTTACAGAGAAAAAAATAAACAGAAAGAGATTACTTTACTAGATCTAAGCCACAAACTAATAAATAGAAGAGGTGAGATATAAATCTAGTCTGGTTCTAGAAATCTATTTACACTCTAGAACCCCATCATACTCACTGTAGATAGTAGGAAAATTGAGTAGATCTTAAAATTTAGGAAGACCAGCCTGGCCGGTGTGGCTCAGGGGCTGGGTGTTGACCCATGCACCAAGAGGTCGCCAGTTTGATGCCCGGTCAGGGCACATCCCCAGGTTGTGGGCCAAATCCCTAGTGGGGGGCATGCAGGAGGCAGCCAATCGATGTTGTCTCTCATTGATGTTTCTATCTCTCTCTCCCTCTCCCTTCCTCTCTCTCTAAAGAATCTTAATAAAGAAAAAGAGTTAAAAAATAAATAAATTTAGGAAGACCAGTTGGGCAGTAATCGTGGACTGTGCCAGAGGGTGAAAGAAGAGAGAGTGATGCTGGGAAGGCCAGTCCGGAGACTTCTAATATGGACTAGGCTACAGTGGCAGTGGAGACAAGAGATATTTAGTGGTAACTAACTGAAGACAGAAAGTGAGGGTCTAATCTAGGCCCGAGGCCTTGGCTTTGTCACCTTTGTCATGATGAGGCCAGTCACTGGTATACCAGAGGAGGTGCGGAATGCGGGCCGACAATGAGCTCAGATCTGATGAGAAAGCAACTTCACCTACATCACTGGGCAAGAAGTCAGTCTTCTCAATAGCTTCCTTCAGCTAAGGAGAGTCCACGTGCTGCCCAAGGCAATTTTGCTCAAGCCAAAGGCAGATGGTAACTATGTTCCTTGGCCAATGGAAAGTGCAAAAGGGAGGAGAGCAGGGCAGTAAGACAAGACAGTCCAACTGGAGTAAATCCCTAGGTGGGGTTCATTGGTTCTCAGGATGCTCTTCGTTCATAGGCATCTCTGAGCAAAGCTTCCCCTGAGGAAAACATGTCACACACAGGTGACATGAGGAACTTTTTGCTGTAAGCAGGACAATCAGAAGCTAAAGGGAGTTCTCTACTCAGCACACTGTTTGCAGACTCCTAGGATCTGAAACTCTAGGATTTTATGAAATCTCCTTCCCCACACTGGCTGGCTCAGAGAGAGCTAATTACCTCTTTCAGGAGTTCCTGTACATGTTCTTCTCCTGACAAATTCTGCTCCAGTCTCTTCTCTAAGGAGGTGACTTTCTCCTGCAAATGTGCAATGAGTGTTTCTTTCTCTTGAGTTTCAGCAGTGACCTGCAGATAAAAGCAGAAATTACATTACACTGTAAATCCTCTCCCTTCCTTCCTGTCTCCTCTAGGACCATCGTTGTTTCCCTAAATTCTGTTCTCAACTGTATTCCAGAAGAATATATAGCCAGGAAATTATCCCTGAAAATAGGACACAGAAGATACAAAATCAGAACCCAGCACCACTTACGCATCCAGTTCAGACATCATCTAGCAAGAGGCAAACACCTTCCCCAGGTTAAGCAACCGACAACCTGGGAAGGAGCAATGCTCTTACCTCTGTGAAATCTAGCCAGGACCCCGGGAAGATGCTTCCCCTCCTTAAAATAACTCAGTTGGCCCTGGCCGGTTTGGCTCAGCGGTTAGAGCGTGGACCTGCAGTCCAGAGAGACCCGGGTTCGGTTCCCGCTAAGGGCACGTACTTGGGTTGCAGTTTGTCCCCGGCCCTGGTTGGGTGGTGTGGGAGGCAGCCATGTGGTGTGTCCCTTTCACATCGATGTTTCTCTCTCTTCCTCTCTCTCCCTCCCACTCTATCTGAACAAAAAATGAAACAATGTTCTTGGGTGAGGATAAAATAAATAAATAAATAACTCGGTTGTATTGTGATAATCTACTAGCTGAAGGAATGCTTCTCCTCCCACCCTTCTCAAGCATGTGTTTAATTCTATTAAACCACAGTCCAACAGAACCCACGTATTTACCCCAAATGGCAGATGCAGCAGAGATAATCCCATGCAAGAAACTCCCAGCCAGCCCTACAATGACCTACAGAACAGTGCTCCTAGAAACGTGGACCTGGAGGAAGTAGTGATGATGCCAGTGCAGATGCCTCAAGACAAAGACAACTTCTGCCCTGGCCGGTTTGGCTCAGCGGTTAGAGCGTCGGCCTGCGGTCCTGAGAGACCCGGGTTCGGTTCCCGCTAAGGGCGCGTGCCTCGGTTGCAGTTTGTCCTGGGCCCTGGTCGGTTGTGCGGGTGGCAGCCACTCTATGTGTTCCTTTCACGTCGATGTTTCTCTCTCTCTCTGGTCCTCTCTCTCCCTCCCACTCTACCTGAACAAAAAATGGAAAAATGTGCTCGGGTGAGGATAAAAAAAAAAAAGACAAAGACAGAACTTCTAAAACAAATGATATGCACCCTGGCTCACAGCACAGGGGCCACAGACGACTGCTGTGCATCTCATACTTAGCCCCAACCAACAGCTGCCCATTATTTATTTCAGTCTATTTCTTTAGCTATGATGGTAGTGGTGGGTTGGGACTGGATGAATGGTAACATTATGCAAGGCAGAGAACACAGAAGGAAGAGTGAGTTTGACAGGAAGGAACAACAAAGTTTTTGCCATAATGACCCATCTTACTAATAATGTTACTAATAATGTTAATAACAGAGATTGTAATAATTATAATAGCACAGTGCAGCAGCAACAGCACCTATAGTTTTCAGAGTATGTGCAAGTATATCCCATTATCTCTAGTTCTTACAACCACCCTTCACCATGTTAATTTCCAAGAAAAATGAAGCTTGAAGATTACATACACCAAAAGCACACACCTTATTGAAAGATAAAGGATTCAAACCCAGGTTTTCTGGATGCAAAACCTGTACTCATTCTACTACACATCAATCTGAACTTCAGAAACACAAGGGACCCTTTCCAGTGAAAATAAAAAGAACAAATCTTATACAAGTCAGTGTGTCAGGTAGCGTAAGAACAGAAAGAGAATCAGTCATCAATTTCCACTTAGACTTCCGTGTACCACATCCCAGACGGAGTCCCCTTCTCCACTGAGGCTGCTTTAATTCAGGCTCTCAGCACCTAATGTACTATAGCTGACATCACACTTAATGGGGTGGTGAAAAAACTCAAAGCTTTCCCACGAAGATCAGTCACAAGGCAAGGATGACCCCTCTCACCACTCCTTTTCTTTTCATCCTCATTTTTTTTGCATTTATCTTCAGATAGAGCAGGAGAGAGGAAGAGAGAGACACATCAACTGGTTGCCACCCACATGGCCCCGGTTCGGGGTCAGGGACAAATTGTAACCGAGGTACGTGCCCTTACTAGGAACTGAACTCGGGACTCTGGTCCACGGGCCAACGCTCTAACCACTGAGCCAAACCGGCCAGGGCTCACCACTCCTTTTCAACACTGTACTAGAAGTCCTTGCCAGTACAATAAGGCAAGAAAAAGAAATAAAAGGTATACAGATTGGGAAGGAACACATAAAAAATGCTTGAGTTTGCAGATGACATGATCATCTATGTAGAAAATCCAAATGAACTGACAAAAATACTGGAACTAATCAAGGTTGCAGGACACAAGGTGATTTGTGACTCCAAGGTTAGATAAAATCTGATGCCCTCTTATAGGATCTCACAGAATCCTATAGTTTTCCTTTACGGCATGCATAATAGTTTGCAAATATGTATTTATGTGATTATTTTAATTTTCTTTTGAGAGAATTTTTTAAAAGATTTTTTATTGATTTTTAGAGAAAGAGGGAGAGGGAAAGAGAGAGAGAAACATTGATGTGAAAGCAAAATACTAATTGTCTGTCTCCTATACACCCCCACTGGGGACTGAGCTAGCAACCTGGGCATGTGCCCTGACCAGGAATCGAACTGGGACCTTTTAGTACACAGGATAACACTCAACCAACTGAGCCACATTGGCCAGGGCTATTTATGTGATTACTGATTAATGTCTGACTTCCCCTCTAGACTATAAGCGGTATCCATTTTGCTCACCACAGTATTACTGACACTCAGCACAGCACAGGGCCTGGTGCATAGTAAAGCTCAAATTATGTATTTAGAATGAATGGGGGAACCTAGTATAACCAGAGTCTGGACAATTAGTTTTTCCAATTATAAAATGAATAGTCCTAACTGATATCAAAGGGTCCCTCAAATCCCCTCTATCCTCATTCCCCAAATGCATTCTGTACCATTCTGCTTTCTCTTCCTCCTGCTGTCCTACCCATCCTTAAAATTTCAGTTCCTCCAGGAAGAGATCTTTGATTCCTATACTGGAAATGCACTCTCTCTATAGAATACCTTTTTTTTTTTTTATCCTCACCCGAGGACATTTTTTCCATTCTTTGTTCAGGTAGAGTGGGAGGGAGAGAGAGGAACAGAGAGAGAGAGAGAAACATCGATGTGAAAGGAACACATCGAGTGGCTGCCACCCGCACAACCGACCAGGGCCGGGGACAAACTGCAACCGAGGTACGTGCCCTTAGCGGGAACTGAACCCAGGTCTCTCAGGACCGCAGACCAACGCTCTAACCGCTGAACCAAACCAGCCAGGGCTATAGAATACCTTTTGAATTTGAAAAATTTACTTCACTTATTTGGGACTTGTTGAGTTGCAAATTTTTTTTCTTACGATCACAGGAGATTTGAGTTCTATAATAAAATTTTAAGTCTCTAAAAGAAAACACCATGTCTGGACTTTCAGTTAGTTGAGGATAGAGACCTTATATCACAGTCATTCATTTGCGTAAGATCCATTTACTGGGTGCTGCTTGTCATGAGGCAAAAGCCCAGAACAAGCATGAGTTTTGGAGTAAGACTTGGGTTAGAATCCAAATCTGTCACTTACTATATAAATTTTTTTTTTTAATTCTCACCCGAGGATATTTTTCCATTTATCCATTTATCTTCAGATAGAGTGGAAGGGAGGGAGGGAGAGAGAGAGAAAACATTGATCTGAGAGACACATTGATTGGTTGCCTTCTGCACAACCCCGACCAGGGTCAGGATCAAACCTGCAACCCAGGTACGTGCCCTTGACCAGAAACTGAACCCAGGACCCTTCGGTCCACAGGCCATCGGTCTAATCGCTGAGCCAAACCGGCCAGGGTACTTATTGTATAAATTTTGAACAAGGTATATACCTTATTTTTTTTTTTATCCTCACCCGAGGACATTTTTCCATTTTTTGTTCAGATAGAGCAGGAGGGAGAGAGAGGAAGAGAGAGAGAGAAACATCGATGTGAAAGGGACACATCGAGTGGCTGCCACCCGCATGACCAACCAGGGCCAGAGACAAACTGCAACCGAGGTACGTGCCCTTAGCGGGAACTGAACCCGGCCGGGTCTCTCTGTACCTCAGGCCTACGCTCCAACCGCTGAGCCAAACCGGCCAGGGCGGTATATACCTTATTGAACAAGGTATATAACCCTTCTTAAGTTTCTATTTAGGTATCTGTAAATTTGCTAATAATTAGCTGGAAGGGGTATACAGACTTCTGTTTATACAAATCTTACTGTACTGTAATGATGCTATAGTCTCCCTTGCATGTGAGATTAGTTTTCAAGGGATGAAGGTAAGATTCATGGTACCCCCTCTAGGGAGTGTTTTGTCATAAGAGGGGAAGGGGCTAGACTGTCAATGACTGAAGGATGCTTCTGGCATTCAGAACCCAGGGGCCAGGAAAGCTAAATATCCTGCAATGTGAGGGACAATCATATAATACAAATTATTCTGCTCAAAATGGTGATAAGAAACATACCACTGAGAAACACTACTCTACAGTCAATGTTATTATTATTGTTCATTTTTATATTCTCAGAATTCAGCACATGCCTACGGTAGAAGGGGAATACGTGTATGTTGGCCAAACAAACAAACAAAATAATAATATCATTTATGTGCTTTTGAACAAATCAGATTAGAGTCAGGTATGTCAAACATACAACTTAGGCCATGTCAACCATAACTATTACATTTTCTTATACTCAGGGTCCATCATGTAGTATATATATGTATGTTTTTAGGGAGGGCCTTCTGGTAAAAAACAAACCTACTGACAAATTCAAAAAGAGCTGTAAGCACTCATCATGTAGTATTTGAAGACATATGTGAATAGATCAAATGGTGTGCTTTGAGAATTCTTGTCTAGGCAGTACTGATCTCTTCTGTTAAGCAGCCTTTGCCCAGCTGTGCGACCACTTCCACCGGACTGAGGCCTGGCTAAACGGAGCCAGGGCAATGAGGGCTGCGTGAGAAACATGTTTCAGCAGCCATCCTGAGGAGGAAATTTCTGACAGAATTAGTTTACCCCACTTGTGAATCCTAGGAACCTGGGTCCCCTCCTAGCATTCTACTTGCTTTTGGTTTTTTATTTTTTGTTTTTGTTCTACTTACCTTTTGCAAATCAATGGAAAGCTGCTGAATGAATGCTTGGAGCTCTTGTTCCTTTTGTTCCAGGGCTGTGATCTTACTTTCTGCACCTGTTTTTGAAGCTGTCACAAGCTCTCTTGAAAGAAAGCAGACAATGAACAAATTTGGATATCTCATCTAAGATACACTCTTCCAAAGGAAAAATACAGCTGGTTCTTTATATGTCAGGGCTGCAAACATTCGCCATGTGAAGATTATCAATGGAGAAGACTCTTTAGCTCTCTCTCTGAAGCAGAAGCCCAAAGAGAAGCAAGACACCCTGATCTGCCTTTGGTTTCTCAATAGCTTAGAAAATAAACCACACTGAATTGCTCAGCAGGGATGGAGGGGTCCTGAGCTTAGGCTGGGAAGGGGAATAAGGGTTTGGGGTTAGGGGTCCTGAGCCCTAGGCAGATAAGGACAAGCCCAGAAGCCTTTGCCAGAACTGGGATCAGAAATTGTTGCATTGAGTAATGGGGACTAGTGGATGGGTTATAGCCAGAGCTACACTAACACCACTTCCCATGGGCCCCACAGACCAAGCAAGAACCTCTGCTCTTCCAGCGTTGAGCATTGTCTCTGCAATTCTTCAAGCTTCTGCCTTAAGTCTGATGACATTTGATTGGAGGTCATCAACTCCTCCTGGGTGCGACTAAGTTCTCTGGTTCGTGCTTCCAACTCTTGCTCCATTTTCCCCAGACTTTCTTCTCTTTTTAAAAGCTGACACAAAAATAGAGTTTCATTGAGCCACTACTAAGAAATATAATTAAAAAAAAATATCTGGCCCAATAAGCCAAACTTTCATAACATATTTGTGAGCTTCTAAGTGGCCTTATAATGCCCAGTAGTGAAAAAGGAAAGAAAATCAAACAGAACGTTTCCACTCTAATAAGCTGAAAAACAACAACAACAACAACAACAACATAAGCCCTGGCCAGTTTGGCTTAGCAGTTAGAGCATCGGCCCATGGACCAAAGAGTCACAGGTTCAATTCCCAGTCAAGGGCATGTACCTGGGTTGCAGGTGCGATCCCTGGCCCTGGTTGGGGTCATGAAAGAGGCAACCAATCGATGTGTCTCTCTCACATCGATGTTTCTCTCTCTCTGCCCCCCCTCCTTCCCTCCCATTCTATCTGAAAAAAAAAAAAAATCAATGGAAAAGTATCCTTGGGTGAGGATAAAAAAAAAAAATTAAATATGATTAATTTCAAAGATTACTGAGGTATGTTTCTCAGCACTTAGAGGGAGATGACTAGCAAAATCAGAATAATGAATGAGCTACTCAGCACTTAGCTACTAAAAACAAAAATGCGCACCAAGTGTTTTACTTTACTTAGTTCCTGTTGCTGGAACCCCTCTAATTCATCCATTTCATCTCTCCTTTGGAAAAGATTCAAACTCTGGTTCTTCATGTCCTGTAACTGAGCTGTCAGAAACCTTTTCTCCTATTTGGAAGAAGAAGACATCAACTCGGGTAGCTAAGAAATTAAAATCATATTGTTAAGTAGAACTCTTAAGAAAAATCTTTTAAAAATCTCCTGTCAGTAGACAATAAAACATTGATGACTGGAAGCTTTACAGTAACATGATAAATATGGAATTAATCAAATTAAAAATAAATGTTTTAAATGATAATTGTGAATAAGGGCAATAAGAACAACTATTACTTAACACTTTAAAGTCTTAGTTTGGCCCTGGCTGGTTTGGCTCAGCGGTTAGAGCATTGGCCCACGGACCACAGAGTCCCAAGTTCGGTTCCCACTAAGGGCACGTACCCGGGTTGCAGTTTGTCTCTGGCCCTGGTTGGGGTTGTGTGGGTGGCAACCACTCGATGTGTCTCTCTCACATCAATATCTCTCTCTCTTCCTCCATCTCTCCCTCCCACTCTATCTGAAGATAAATCAAAAAATGTCCTTGGGTGAGGATAATAATAAAAAATAATAAAGTCTTAGTTTGATTAGTAATTTCAGATTTCTATTTTACATGTCTATTCTCACTGACAGACTCAATTGGCTGAATAACATTAATAACCGGAGTAAGAGACTAAATGCCCTTAAAAATTCAGATGCATTTAAGTAGAATTGATTTCAATTAGCAAGTCAACAAAAATTAGACATGACTAGTGTCAGCAGGTTACAATTTAATAAATGATAACTTTCCAAGATGGATTCTCTTAAGGACAAACACTACTGCTACAGTTTCTAATTCTTGGTTGAAAGGAAATAACAGTCTAAAAATAACATTTCCAAAAATCACAATGACTTCAAAGATCTACATAGGTGTCTCTTCAGTCTTTCCTGGTCTAAAACATTTCCCAAATCCTCCTTTGAGTGGGTAGGGGGGAAGAGAGACAGTCTCCTTAATGAATTAAAAGTTCCATCCTATATGGATCCCTCTTTACCATAATTGTAAAAGATAAAAAAAATAGTCCAATTAGAATTTTAATTGCTACAATCTTTTTTTTTTAATCCTTAACCGAGGACATTTTTCCATTTTTTGTTCAGATAGAGTGGGAGGAAGAGAGAGAGAGAGAAACATTGATGTGAAAGGGACACATCGAGTGGCTGCCACCCACATGACCCAACCAGGGCCAAGGAGAAACTGCAACCGAGGTACATGCCCTTAGCGGGAACCAAACCCGGGTCTCTCTGGACCGCAGACCGACACGGCTGAGCCAAACCAGCCAGGGCTAATTGCTACAATCTTAACAGTTTCTTACAAGAAGAAAACTCTGACTTAACCCATACCAGCATATTTAAAAAGACCATCATTAACATTACATTTAGAGGTTTTTTTTTTAGGCACATGTTTCTTTGGGAGATAGCTTGACTTTTCTGTAATTCTTTCCTTATATAAATAAGTTAAAGCATTATGATTTAATAATCAGATTTCTACAGAACACACACACAAAATCACCGCTTTAATTTGGTGTTTGATCTCAAGACTAAAGCAATAAAAAAAAAAAAAAAAAGAAAGCCCTGGCCGGTTTGGCTCAGCGGTTAGAGTGTCGACTTGCGGTCCTGAGAGACCCGGGTTCGGTTCCCGCTAAGGGCACGTACCTCGGTTGCAGTTTGTCCCCAGCCCTGGTCGGTCGTGCGGGTGGCAGCCACTCGATGTGTCCCTTTCACATCGATGTTTCTCTCTCTCTCTCTGTTCCTCTCTCTCCCTCCCACTCTTCCTGAACAAAAAAATGGGAAAATGTCCTCGGGTGAGGATAAAAAAAAAACCGAAAAACTAAAGCAATAATAAAATTCAGCTGTTTAATAAAATTAACACTAAGCATATTTTGCAAGTGAATATATCAATCTAAGAAATAATTTTTCTACCACGAAGAGTTAACTAAAAAGTACTCAATGAAAACAAGGAATGAATAAAGTAGCAGCATATAATTCAGGCTGAGGGTGTTGATTATTGATTATTTGAAATTAAAATGTTTTTTCTAATTTTAGGTTTGAAATGTCATCTCCCTGTTCCCGTCTGGGAGCCAGGCATACATTCCCTTAGGCACCTGCACAGTGTTAGACAAGCTGTGCGGGAATAATCCATTTCCCTCATCTGTGTCTAGCCAAGAGGCTCTCCCATCTCCTCAGTGCTGAGCTGGGAGAAATGCCCTCCTTCCACTGTCTCCTCAGAAGTGTTCCCAATGCTACCAGAGCATCAGTCAGGGCCCCAGCAGGAAACAGATGGCAAACTCAAGTTAGGTATTTTGAGAAGAGTTTTAATAAAGGAACTTTTCAAAGCTGTGGGCAGGGTAACAAAACCCCAATGAGAAAATGTGCTAGTAACAGATGAGCATGAAGGGGCAAAGAAATGAAGAGGTTATAAGAAACCCAGGGAGGGAGGATCTATGTCAAGAGGGTAAACCAAAGGCCCAACTAAAGCTGTGACCTTGGGATATAACTAACCTGAAGGGATCCCACATGGAGAAGGCTGGGGAAATAAACCTTCTGACCACACTCTTCTTCCACACACAGTTCTTTTTAGTGTTCCCCACTGGTGGAACCCAATCAGAAGCAAAAGGGCAATGTAGCCCTGCTGAGGCAGGTCCTATCGGCCTTCGGGTACACAGAAAAAGGGAAAAGAGGGGTGGAGAGCATATTGGGAGGGACATGCCCACCAAGAAAAGGTAAGACATGAGTTTTTCAAGTCAATGTCTAATCATCCAGTACCCTGCTTCTAAAAGGAGGTATAGTTATCAGTACACTGGGTATTGCAGAAACCATTTTCTAAGCCCCACAGAAGAGGCCAACATTTGAAATAAGACAAAAATAAAGATTAACTAACCTTTTCAAGCTGATCCACTTTTTGTGACCATTCCTAAAACAAAAGAACAAAAAAAGTACTTTCCAGAGAAGAGTATCAGTAATATTAAGATTTTCAGAAAAATAAATAATCTAACCAGCCCTCCCCTACTCCACCCCAAAACAACCTACCAACCAAACAAAACAGCAAATTAAAAAAGAAAACACATGGCCCTGGCCGGTGTGGCTCAGTAGTTATAGTGTCAGCCCTCGCACCACAGGATGGTAGGTTCGATTCCCAGTAAAGGGCGCATACCTGGGTTGCAGGTTTGATCCCTGGCTCCAGTTGGAGCATAAGTGACAAGCAATCAATCGATGTGTCTGTCTCTATTGATGTTTCTCTCTCTTTCTCCCTCCCTCCCTTCCACTCTCTCTAAAAAAAACCAAAAAACCAAAAAACAATGGAAAGATATCCTTGAATGAGCATTGACAGAACAACAAAAAAAAAACCTCCATGAAATTGGCTTAATATTAAGAAAGCCAAAAGAAGAAAATTAACTTTTTCTAAAACTCTAGAATCCAAATATAAGCCTACAGATTTTTACTATGTAGAGCAACCAAAGCTCTCAGTTGTTCTTATCCAGCTTTTCAGCTAATTCCTGAGTGGTTTTCCATGATTACTATGATAACATCTTGGGATTGGTAGTTGAACCAGCTGAGTTGGTAACTTTATAACTGATGTTTAGAAATTAATTTACTGAAGGGGGAAGGTCTTCAGTAGCCCCTAATAATTATTTCCCTTCTCATCTTGATTTTACCAATATGCTTTATGCCTTAAGTTAATGAAAAAAGGGATATGTCCCTTATTCACATTTCACTGAACAGGAGGAAAAATAGCTGCTGGTACAAAAGGCCATATCCCAAATGTCTACAATCAGAATCTACCAATTTTAAATTATTTCTGCCTTTAACAAACTCATAACATTATAGTTAGCCACTAAGTATGGTATTGGCGAATTATGTTTTTTTCTGGCTGGTAAATGTCCTAGATGACAAATACACACTTCATTTTTATTTTTTAAAAATATTTTTAAATTAATTTTTAGAGAGGAGGAGAGGGAGAGAGGGAGAGGGGGAGAGAGAAACAATGTGAGAGATACACACTGACTGGTTGCCACCTTCATGACCTCAACCAGGGCCAGGGACGAACCACAACCGTGGTACGTGCCCTTGACTAAAATTGAACCCGTGACTCTTTGTCTGCGGGCCGCTGCTCTAACCACTGAGCAAAACTGACAGGACCAAATACGCGTTTTATTTATTTATTTTCCTTTATTGATTTTGTTTTGTTTTTTTTTTAGAGACAGAGAGAGAGAGAGAGAGAGAGAGAGAGAGAGAAAGAGAGAAACACCATTGAGAGAGAACATCGACTGGCTGCCTCCTGCATGCTCCCCACTGGGGATTGGGCCCACAACCTGGGCATGTGTCCTGACTGGGAATCGAACTGGCAACTTCTTGGTACATGGGTTGATGCTCAACCACTGAGCCACACTGGCCAAACCAAATACACACTTTAAAACCAAACAACCAACCACCCCATCCTCTATAGGTAAATTATACATTTTCTTTTTTTTTTTTTAAATCCTCACCTGAGAACATTTTTCCATTTTTTGTTCAGATAGAGTAAGAGGGAGAGAGAGAGAGAAACATTGATGTGAGAGAGACACATCGAGTGGTCGCCACCCACACAACCCAACCAAGGCTGGGAACAAACTGCAACCGAGGCACGTGCCCTCAGTGGAAACCAAACCCAGGTCTCTCTGGACTGCAGGCCTACGCTCTAACCGCTAAGCCAAACTGGCCAGGGCTTATACATTTTCTTAAATGCAACATAATATAATAAATTGACCTTGTCTTCAAAGATCAGGATTATTATTATAATATCTTGATGCTAAATTTAGATTTAAAATGCCATTGCATAAATATATTTCCTAATAGCTAGTAATAGCACTATTTTCTTTTCTTACTGCCATTCATTCAGCACCTTTCAATGGATGATTCTAATGAGATTATAGGAGTTCCCTTATGTCTAGCTGGCTGGAGCTGAAGAAATCTGGGAACAGAGATTGTAAGAATTATGTACATCATGGATGATGATAGCTTAATATCATCCTGTCCACTATAAAAGGCAAGTGTTTGAGTCTGGGCTTTGAGACAGGTTTTTAGAGGACAGAGACCTTTTTCCTTGTCTTGGGGCTTACTCAGATTATGACACACAATTTCCCTTCTCCATTTTACAAAGCTACACAGTTGGCCTGGCTGGTGTGGCTCAGTAGATTGAGCATCAGCCCATGGACTGAGAGGTCCTAGTTCGAGTTCTGGTCAGGGACATGCTCAGGTTGCAGGCTTTATCCTCAGTGGGGGGCATGCAGGAGGCAGTCAATCAATGTTCCTATCTCTTTCTCTCTCTCTAAAAAAAAAAAATCAATAAAAACATATTTAAAAATAAATAAATAAATAAATAATTTTTAAAAGCCACAAGTTGCAGAATGATCCTCTCACATTCTGGGCACATTTCATGATTATAACTGTGAAATTTTCCACCTGAAGCCAAGTGAAATCTCAAAGAATATATATAGCCTTCCTCTTCTCTTAGGTTATAAATATTTTCTAACAGGTTTATGTAATAATTTTTAAAAATCATGTCACTAAGTGAAATCTTTTCACAAGTCTTGGGCAATGTCACATATAAAATACCTGGTCTTTTCTGGCTAATGCCAAAGACAGTTCTTCTGCCATTTTGGCTCTGTTGGCTTGGAATGTCTCATTCTGCTCTTGAAATTTCCTCATGGAAGCTGTTAACAAAGAGACTTTATTTGAGATATGGAAAAATTTCAGAAATAGCATGACAAACAACCCATGTGATTACTTTACAACTGTCAGCTAACAAAAAAGGCCAAGGTCACATAAGTGAATTATGAGACTGGAAAAAACCTGATGTACCTTGACTTTCCCAGAATCTTTGCCCTTAATAACAGACCACCGTTTTTGTTTGTTTATTTCCTGTTGTTTTTGTTTTTTGCAATAGTCAAGTATATACATCTAGGAAGATGCCAAAAGTTAACTTTTTAAATGGTTTACTGATGATAGAACACTGAGTTAGGTAGGGTGCAAGAAAGCACCAATGCTGTTGCTAAGTGATGGCTATTACCACTCTATAGAATTAAAACAAAAGCAAATACAAAAATTTTTCTTTCACTTTGTTTTCCTTTAAAAATTTGTTAGTATGTATTATATCAATTAAAAATAATTTTCTACTTTTGTTAGCATTTTCTTGGATTGAATCCAATGAAGAACACATGATTTAGGGTAGAATAAACAAAATGTATGTTCTATTGTTGGAGGAGTGATGACAGCTGGCGATGCTCCCCCGTTTCTGAACACAGCAGGAATGGAGCTATGGCTAGAACCAAAGTCTCCTAATATAGGTCCAAGGGCCAGGTACTACATTTTGCCAATAAACTGGTCAACTGGATGGACACAGCTGATAATGGCCTTCTCCTAAGAAGTATGCCCATAAGGCAACATAAATATGAGTTGTAAGTTACTAAATATCAAACAAATGTTGTATCAACCTGGTTAAGAAATACTGCATACTACTCATAAAATAAAGATTTGTGCTGTGACAAAGTAAAAAATTTAACCATACATGATCGTTTCATCTCAAAAAACTAAACCCAAAAATGATTGGAAAAAAAACAGGAAAAAAAAAAAATACGTACAATCCTGGTGTTTTTCTAATGCAATTTCAAGCTTCTCTTTTATCTTCTGCAAGTTTCGGACCTGTTCAGCATAGTCTTGGGTGAGGAGGGTGACGCACATACCAGGAATGGACAAACATCAGGAAAGGAAGTTAATTAAACAAAACAAAAAAAATGAATGAAAATGATGATGATTTTCTCAGCCTGAAAACCATTCCTGGTAAGGAAAGCTAGGCAGACAGCCTCCCAGTAACAATGAACAACACAGGCAAACAGGTATAGTACAAACTATCCACAGTGTAAATGGTGACTACAGACAGGCAGATTCGTTTAGCTTTGATAAAGAACCAGAATTGGGCTTGTATGGTCATCAGAAATGCTCTGCCTATGAAAACCATTATTACCTCATTACTTAATCTCACATCTCAGTTTTCACTTCCCCTTCCAGTCTTAGTAGGACAGATAAAAGGGAACTCACCAAATAGCTCACTTTCAGTCCATACAACTGAGGAACAGTGGTTAGGGCAACAGTAAACACCTTACTACAGTAATGCCTATACAGTGAAAGTACCTCATGCTCTAGAACAGTCAGCTTCCTTTCCACACGAAACCTGAGCTGCCTATGCCACTTTAAAGGTGCAAGCCAGATTACCTGGGTGACCAAGATGATAGTACGGTATAGTGGAAAAGTAGACAGGCTTTTGTTCAAATCCCAGTTCTATCAGTCCTTAAGCATTGATTTCTTTACTTATCAAGTGATGATATAAGTACACCTACATCAAAGGTTGCATTAGATAATAAGCTGTTTGTTTTTGTTTTGTTTGTTTTTTTATCCTCACCCGAGGACATCTTTTGCATTTATCTTCAGATAGAGCAGGAGGGAGGGGGGGGGGAGAGAGAGAGAAACATCAATGTGAGAGAGACACATGGACTGGTTGCCACCCACACAACCCCCAACCGGGGTAGGGGACAAACTGCAACCAAGGTACATGCCCTTAGCGGGAACCAAACCCAGGACTCTCTGGTCTGTGGGCCGATGCTCTAACTGCTGAGCCAAACCAGCCAGGGCGATAATAAGCTGTTTTATATGCCTTATGCACCTGGCACACAGTGCTCAATAAAAAAAATCTGCTATTGTTGTTATTATTCGTACTAAGCTGATAGGAAAATACTCAGAACATAAGTGGGCTCAGTAAATGTCAGTTCTCTTCTCTGTCCCTTCTTCTCTAACCTAAGTCAAGCTCAAACTATTCTCCCTTCTATATTAGGGAGAGTACACATTATTTTATAGCTTTCCCCACAACCTTAAACAAATATGCAGTTATTTCACCTGTGTTACTGATACTATGTACACTAGGGAGTAAGAGGACAGTAACAACTGAGTTTGAAGCAGACTGTAATTATGAGTATGACCTCTGGTATCAAACAAATCTGGATATGGATCCCAGCTCTACCACCTTCTACTTGTGTGACCCTAACCTCACTATGTCCAATAAGACTGCAGTGAAGATAAAATGAGATAACAGACTAACTAGAAACTGTAAGCTACACTATGGACTTTTGATAACTGCACAAACACAGAGATTTCACACAAAATTTGGTGAATTTTATAATCTACTATTTTCATTTCAATAAAATGGGCAATAAGGCCAAGGGACAAAAAGAAACACAGAAGCCACTGACCACTTCACAGGATGAAGCTTTCAAAATGTGTTCAGTGGCAGAAACCAAAATAAGAACTCACAACTCGATCACAAACATGACCTGCTCAGGCAAAGGATATAATGGGAGTTGTGTACATTGTAAAGTGCACACAAAAAACGTAGTGAGAGTTACTGCTTCTGTAAAGGTGCTAAAGTTAGAAATACTAATGAAAAGTGGCCCAAAGACCAGAATAACACTTATATAGGTAATACGTAGCTGTAGCAAGTGGCAACATAGCACCAAACCCCTCTGGTATTGAAGAATCCAACATCTGCTGATCATTCCCTATAAATGGTATCCCTACCCATCTCTACAAGAAAGCAAGCTATACTAATGGCTAGGTCAAGTCTATGCTACATATACTTTTAACATCTTTTATATCCATGGCTAGAAACCTCAGGAGCAGAAAAACATAAGTTTTTTTTTTTTTAACTTTAAAACTCAGTTTTGAATTTACATTATTTAGTACATTAACAAAAGGAGGAACAAAGGGGGTAAAAATTGTTCCTTTTTGACTAGTAAGATTAAAATATATCAAAATAACGATAAGGTTATGCTATATGGCTATTTTACAGGGAGAGAGGTTCAGGCAAAGCAAATTCCCTTTGTTTGCTTTTTATGAGTTCTTAGACATACCAGAAAGTCTGGCCTCTAATTTCCGTATCTGTTCATTCCTTCTCAACAGCTGAGATGAAAGATCTTCTCTGGAGCTGCTTCCATCGGAAGCCTGTTGAGAGAGACACAAGAAGAGGTCGTATTCATACATGGGATTTTAGAAGTGTGAGAGCACAGTACTGAACCAGAAAGCAACTACTCTTTTTTTTTTTAATCCTTACCCAAGTCTATTTTTTCCACTGATTTTGAGAAAGAGTGGAAGGGAGGGAGGTGGGGGAGAGGGAAAGAGAGAAAAAGAGAGAGAGACAGAGACAGAGACAGACATCACCTGGGAATCAAACCTGCAACCCAGGTACATGCCCTTGACCAGGTGTCAAACTTGCGATCCTTCAGTCTTTGGGCCAACATTCTAACCAGCCAGGGCACAAAGTGACTACTCTTATTTTAGATTTGGTTACACTTGTGATCACTTAAAAGTTTTTTAACTTGCCTGGGCCTCAGCTTGTCAACCTATAAAGCAGAAGCAACACTATATCCATCTATAGTATGAAGAAGATATAAGAAGTTAAGATGTGTGTGTATACATGCTATTGGAATAAATAGTGGTGAACAAACTCACTATGATCTTATTACACCAAGTACATAATATAAAATACATGTTTTCAGTGATTAAAAATAAAAAAGGAAATTACTTTATTTTTCCAAAGGTAAAGTTCTAGGAGAAAGAGGGGAAGGTTGGTCTATTAGGAAGAAAAGATCACTGACATTGATAAAGTTTTAGTATCTTCATCTATAAAACAAAGAGATGTCATACTAAAGCTCTAAAACGTATCAAAAACCTTAGCAGATAATACATATTCAATAAGTCAATATATTAATGAGACATCAATTTTCTCCAACAATCTACAGTATCTTAAAACACATGGGAACTTTTATTATTTTGGGCACTGCTTACTATTGCTAATAAATAACTTGCTTTATCTTTTTTACCTTTGATAACAAATTTAGAAAAATGTTTTAATTGATTTATTTAGAGAGAGAGGAAGGGAAGGACTCAGCCCACAACCCCAGCATGTGCTCTGAACCAGGACCTCTCAGTCCATGGGACAATGCTCAATCCACTGAGCCACACTGACCGGGCTATAATAAGATTTTTAAAAATACAGAAGAGTAGGAAGAATGGTTTAATGAACATTCTGATGTTTTCCAGTATTTGCTTCATCAATTTTTATTTTACTAAAGTACTTTAAATAACAGACACCATGGCATTTTGTCCTAAACACTTTGATGAACATTTCTAAAATATAAGGACATTTTCCTTTATAACTCCAATACCATTATCCCACCTAACAATATTAAAAATAACAGTATCTAATATCTAGACATGTTTTTCTATTTTATTCCCAAAATGTCTTTAAAGGTGGTTGAACAATTCACTTTAAATCATTTACCCATCTAGCCACTTGCCCATCCAACATGTACAGACTCAGTACAGTGTACAGTAAAGAGGGAGTCTCTGCAGGCAAAAGGTCCAGGTTAAAGTCCCATCTCCACCACTTATAAAGTATAGAAAGTGGGTCAGTTATTAACTGGTCTGTGCATTGGTTGCATATGTAAACTATGATAACAAACATGATGTACTTCACAGAACTGTAATGAGAAGTAAATAAATCAATATTTGTCAAATCCCTAAAATAGAGCCAGGCACATAGTTTTAATACTTATAATCTATTATTATTATTATTATTATTATTATTATTATTATTTTTATCCTCACCCCAGGACATTTTTGCATTTATCTTCAGGTAGAGCAGGAGGAAGAGAGAGAGAGAAACATCAATGTGAAAGAGACATATCGAGTGGTTGCCACCCTCACAAACCCAACCGGGGCTGGGGACAAACGGCAACTGAGGTACGTGCCCTTGGCGGGAACCGAACCTGGAACTTTCTGGTCCGTGGGCCGACCTCTAACCACTGAGCTAAACTGGCCAGGGCTAACCTATTATTAGTAGAAGTTATGATTATTGCTGTTGGTGAGACATCCTATTCTCAGCATTGTGCCAAGCACTGGGGATAGTGGTTAGAGTCCTTACCTAAAAGAGCAGCAGCTGCAGTAACTAGTAATTATGAAATGCTTGTTAAGAGCCAGGCACTATATTACAAAGTGTTTTATATACTGTGCAGAAAAGAGTTCACATCACAGGACTGAGACTACCATTCTTAGCAAGGCCTGCTTGGAAAGTTAGCCTTTGGCTGGTCTACGGAAAGTTAGATTTTTCAAGGGTTCCCATTATTCCTGATAAGAATGGCTCTTTGTACACTAAACTGATTGTGCAAAAAAATATGGTTTATGCTAACACCTGCTCTCCTTCCAGGAGCCTGAAATTTTGGTAAATGCTAGGCAGAGGGTACCTCTGTGACTAGCCTCCCAATAAAATCTCTGGGCACTGAGACTCTAACAAGCTTCTCTGGTAGACAGCATTTTACCCTGTGTGTCACAAATCACTACTGGGTGAATTACATTGTCCCATGTAACTCCACTAGGAGAGGGTTCTTGGAAGCTTATGCCTGGTTTCCTCCAGGCTTTGCACTATGCGCCTTTTCTATTTGCTAAGTATGCTTTTCATCCCTTCCCTGTAATAAATGACAGCAGTGAGTAAAATTATGTGCTGAGTTCTGCAAGTCCTCCTGGTGAATAACTGAACCTATGCGTGAATCTTGGGGACCTGACACTAACTTTAAAAAAGAAAGGTACAGTTCCTATCTCCATGTTACAGATGTGGAAACTAAGGCATAGAAAAGTGAAGAAACTTGCCCAAAGTCACACAATAATGATGGAAGCAGGAAATTAAATCCAGGTCTGACTCCATAACCTGACCTGAGTTTCCAACTACTATATTTCACTGCCTCTCATAAAGCTCCCAGTTTCCTGGGAGAGACAAACAAGTAAATCATCAACATCAATGCAGTGTAACAGGTGCTTCTATAGAGATAAATAGGAGACCAGGGACCAAATGCAGCCAGGAGGGATAAAGAGTAGGGTAAGAGGGGCAAGTTGGGTCAAGGGGTCTTCCTGGAAGGAACATATGAGCCCAGTCTTGAAGGATGCACAAGAGTCAGAGGAACACAGAGTGAAAAGAGGACATAGAAGACGTTTCAGAGAGAGGAAAGAGCATATGCAAACATTTGTAGGCATGAAGAAATGGTGTCCATTCCAGAAAGTATAAAAAGTTCAATATGGCTGGAACACAGGGTATAGGAAAGTAGAGTGAGCTGAGGCTAGGTAGATCATGGCTGTTTACCACTATACTATAATAATGAGTTTGCGCTTTCTCCTAAAGATGATGTGAAGCCACAGCATTTTTAAGCATTGGAGAAACATGAACAGATCTGCTTTGGGAAGTTATTGAGGGCAGGGAGCCTTGACAGGTTACCACATTTGTTTGAGAAACAAAGACAGCCTGAAATAAAATAGAAGTAAATGTACTACTAGCACCTTGGCTGGTTTTCTCAGTGGTTAGAGCATCAGCACATGGACCAAAGGGACACGGGTTCGATTCTGTTCAAGGGCACATACCTCGGTTGTGGTTCATCCCCGGCCCTGGTCGGGGTCATGCAGTAGGCAACCAATCAATGTGTCTCTCTTACATCGACGTTTCTCTCTCTCTCTCTTCCTCTCTCTCCCTTCCTTCCTCCCTCTCACTTTATCTGAAGATAAATAAAAAATGTCCTGGGTGAAGATTAAAAAAAAAATAAATGTATTACTAGAAAATAGAGTAGAGAGGGCAAGTTTGAGACATTTAGGAGATGGAAGCCAAATACTTGCTAACTGACTGGACACCAAGAAGTGAAGGAGGAAGGAGTCTAAAATGCCTCAAAGGGCCCGGCCAGTGTGGCTCACTGGTTGAGCACTGACCCCTACACCAAGAGATTGCTGGTTCGATTCCCAGTCAGGGCACATGTTCAGGTTGTGGGCCCAATCCCCAGTGGGGGGCATGTAGAAGGTGACCAATCGATGTTCTTTCTCATCAATGTTTCTGTCTCTCTCTCTCTCCTTTCCTTTTTCTAAAAATCAATAAAGAAAAAATATTTAAAAATAAATAAATAAAATGACATGGCCAGTTGTCTTTTTAAAAATAAAAAAATAAAATGCCTCCAAGGTTTCTTGATGGTGACTGGGGGATGAAGGTGCACATGTGGAAATGGAATTACTGAATTCAGTTTTGTTAATTTTAGAATTTAAGATAGCAGAGGAAAAACACCTGGTTGGAGAAATACATGCAGCAGGATTTAAATGTCTGAAAATAGAGAGGGATCAAAAGGTATATATAGTAAATTAAAATCAATTACTTTAGAAGTCTCAAAGCAAAGTACTTCCTGAATCCAGGCCAATCTGTATGCCTGAAATACATTCGAGATGAGAGCCTTCATTTAACATGTCAGCAGGCAGGTATTGCTGCTTGCATGAAAGGTATTTCTGTCACAGAACTCAATGTTTAAGCTATATCCTTCAGCCCGGTAATCAAATGTGCATTTATATTTCCTGTTAAATATAGGAACCAATGGCCCTGGCCGGTTTGGCTCCCCGGTTAGAGCGTCGGCCTGCGGTCCTGAGAGACCCGGGTTCAGTTCCCGCTAAGGGCATGTACCTGGGTTGCAGTTTGTCCCCGGCCCTGGTTGGTTGTGCAGGTGGCAGCCACTCGATGTGTTCCTTTCACATCGATGTTTCTCTCTCTCTCTCTGTTCCTCTCTCTCCCTCCCACTCTACCTGAACAACAACAACAAAAAAATAGGAACCAATGATAATTTAGATCTGGTAGTCTTATTATTTCACCCCAATAACCTAATAGCTTCTGCCATGTAATCTGACCCAGACAGGTAGTATAAGAAAGGAGAAAGAAGACTCATCTAACCATGGAAACAACTCAAGTGTCTATCACCAGGAGTAGACAGAGATAAACTGTCTTCAAATGCTGCAATCTTATATAGCAGTAAAAATAAGAGAACCATAGCTTCATGTAACATAGATGCATTTTAGAAACATGTTGAGTGAAAAAATAAAGTCCAAGAAAACTATAGTATACTATTTTTATAAAGTTTAAAAATAAGTAACATTAAACAACAAATTATTTATGATTATAGTCATGTCTGGTAGGATATTTTTATTATTGTTACTATTTTTTTAAATTCTCACCCAAGGATATTTTTTTGTTTATCTTCAGATAGAGTGGGAGGGAGGGGGAGAGGGTGGGGGGAAGAGAGAGAAATATCGACGTGAGAGGGACATATCAACTGGTTGCCTCCTGCATGACCACGACCAGGGCCGGGGACAAACCACAACGGAGATATGTGCCCCTAACTGGAATCAAACCCATGACTCATTTGTCCGTGGGTCAATGCTCTAACCACTGAGAAACTGGCCAGGGCTGGTAGGATATTTTTAAAAGCAAAGGAATAATAACACAACATGTAGGATAGTGGTTATCTGGAGGGGAGGATGGGAAAGGGAACTGGGAAGGAGCATACAAGTGGCTTCAACCGTATCAATAATGTTCTAGTTCTCTGGATAGGTGACAGATTAACAAACATTCATTTTATTTTTATTTTTTAAAGTTTTCTTATTTATTGATCTTAGAGAGAGAGAAAAGGACAGGTAGAGAGAGAGAGACAGAAACATCGATGAGAGAGAACATCAATTGGCCACCTCCTGTGTGCCCCCCACTGGGGATTTGGCCCACAACCTGGGCATGTGCCCTGTCCAGGAATTGAACCGGCGACCTCTTGGAGCATGGGTTGACACTCAACCACATCATGGTTGATGGCTCATTTTATTTTTATGCTCTATACTTCACATTTACATTATATACATTCTTTTACAAATATTAAGTAGTATAAATCATTTTTGAAAAGTTATCTGACTTTAAGAGGATCCTGTCACATGCTAAATACATACTTGCCATTTACCTAACACAAGAGCATCCTCATTTTTTTAAATCCTCACCCGAGAATATTTTCCATTGATTTTTTCAGATAGAATGGGAAGAAGGGAGGGACGGAGATCAAGAGAAACATCCATGTGAGAGAGACACATCGATTGGTTGCCTCCCATAGCACCCAGATTGGGGCCAGGGATTGATCCAACAACCGAGGTACGTGCCCTTGACCAGGAATCAAACCCGAGACTCTTCAGTCCGTGGGCCGACGCTCTAACTGCTGAGTCAAACTGGCCAGGGAAACATCCTCATTTTTTGAAATCTTTCCAACCACAAAGGTACTTTACAAATAAGAGACATACTACAGTCATCAGAGCCATCTTTTCATCAAGTTTCCCAATAAAAGAATGTACTCTGGCTCACTCCACACCACAGCTCACAGACCTTGTTAAGCAACAATGGCTTCAAGTATTTACGTCTTCAGAGACAACAGACCAAAGTACTGAGAAAAGAAATGTAAAAGATGTACAAAATATATAGATGGAAAAAGAGGACAATGGAGAGAATATGGAGAGGAACTCAGAAAAATAAGAAAAATTAAACAGAAAAGCACCTCAGAATAAGAATAATAATATATTAACTACAAATAATCTTTCAATTTTAAAAGAAAATACATATTGGAAGGATTCCTGAAATTTTATTTTAAATATATATTGAGATGGTACCAAATATTAAAAACTATGAAGATACTTACAAAGTCATCTCCTGAGTCAGCTCCCATAGAGGCAACAGATTCCTTGCTCACGGACCGTGGGATCCTAGTAGCACCTCCTGGCCTCTGGGAAACAGCAGTCTCTTCTGCAATTTTCTTCTTTAGTTTTGCAAACATTTTGCTGTGTGGCTGTCCTGCCCTGATGACCAGTTCTTAAACCACCACTGTAATTTTTAGGCCAGCAACCAGGAATTCCAAGACAGGTGCCTAAAAAGTTCCAGACATCCAAGCTAGCCGCATTCCCCCTTAAATGTGGGCCAAGCACCTATGGCAACACAGTATCTACAGATCAGATGAAAGAGAACTCTAAATTAAACACCGGAGAGATTTCACATCTGTGTTGCTATGTTAAGCTATCAGTTTCAAAATTAAGTTTCATAATTTCCCATGCATATTTACTAGAACACAATTATTAAACATTTAAAAAGTATTCGGGTGCTTCATATGCATAGATAAGGACAAAGATTGTGTGGCTAAGTGGCAGGGCTGGTATTTGAACTCAGGATTCTGACTCACAAGTCCCTAATTTTTTTTTTTTTCCAGGTGCCTCCAGAACACACCCCAACTGGGATCGAATCTGCAACCCAGGCATGTGCCTTGACTGGGAATCGAAACTTAGACTTTTCAATATATGAGGTGAGGCTCCAACCAACTTAGCCACATCGGCCAGGGCCCTACTTTTTTTTTTTTTTTAATTATTATTATATTATGTTGGCTATGGCATATAACACATTAAGTGAAACTTTCCAGGTCAAACATTAATATCACATAATGATTTTGAATCCTTCTCCTAATAATACTAACTACGGTTTAGTGTTGTTGTTTTTTTAAGATGAAGACAAAAACATGTAACTCAATATGAGGAAAAGGTGTAATGGTCTAATGTTCCAAGTTGGTTTGCAATCAGCTACTTACCAGAAAAACCTGACAACCTGGAAAAGACCAGGCAAGCCAGACAACTATATTATATAGATATCAGACATCCTTAAACATTTCCCGGAAATGCTACGTGGTTCTAAGGATGACAAAAATGACCTCAAATCAGTTTCTTTTTTTCAGAATGTTTTACATAATATTCAACAACGAGACTCAAATGTCTTTCCCTCCCAATGGTGTAAAAACACTAATATTCTAGTTACAACCTTAACTTTTCATGTTTTGTGGAGGATATCCAAGCCCTGCTACCTAAGATCTACAAATGACTTCTTACCACTTCAGATTATCCATGTAAGTCTGCACAATTCTTCAAAAATTTTACCTTCAATGTCTGTAAACCAGCTACTCACCTGGCTTATCTACTAGATTTAAAGCAGCCTGGAGGTCAAAGCATTGTCCTGCATGAAGACAAAGATAAAATGCATTGGCTATGTCCTTCCAAGTGTACAACCAAAATGCTGGGGGAAGAGGGTGGGGATTTGGAATAGTAGGGAAGGGAATTGAGGGAGACAGAAAAACCTGTCACTGCCACAATCCTCAGTGAGCGACCCTCCCTCACCCTGGTCTTCTTTGCATTTGTGATTTGCCTAAGAGTTTCACGCAGATACATACATAGAACAAAATCTCATTGCAGTAAGTGCCTAAATTCACTACGCATTGGGAACCCTGAGCAAAACAACTTGAATCAGATTATGATTTCCCAGGGCCAGTGTTTACTTCTCAGTTGATTCTGAGTCACACACTGTTTACCTGGCCAGACCCTTGAGCCTTGACTTGCATTAAGAAAGTCGCTGAGAAAAATGATTAAGTTGGGTAAAAGACAGCTGCCTAACGCCCAGGAAAACAAGCAGGTACCTGCCGTGACAGTTTGGATCCCAGTCACTGGGGCTCCTCCCAGAACCGCCTGTGCGTGGACTGCCAAAGAAGGGAGGGACCCCATGTCTCTTCCATTTGACAGCAGGGAAACTGAGACCCGGAGCGGAGTGACTTGTCAGAGGTCGCGCAGGGGGGAATCCTGGAACCCTACGCTCTCCGGACGGGCAGCCCCGCCTATGCCCCCACCCTCGCCCTTTCAGCACCTCGGTACCGCCCCCCGCCTTGGGTCTTGGGGCAACCCCGTCCGGGCCGCTTTGGGGGCAGACCGAGTCTACTGGGAGAATGAGGGGCCTGCTCGCGTCTCCGGCCCCCGCCCGCGCACCTGCCGCTCTCTGGGCAGCCGGCAGACCCCGCCTCCGGGGCCTCTGGAGATCGCCAGTCCGCGTCACCAGCCCGAACGGCCGGCCGGCGAGCGGAGCACCGACCCGGAACCGCACTTGCACCGGCGCGCCGGAAGTGGCAGCGTGCGAGGCCCGCCCGCCGCGCGCATGCGCCTGAGAGCGCTCTCCGCCGACCACGGCGCGAGCTTGGGGCGGCGGTTGGGCCGGACCCGCCGGAGGGTGCGGGCGCCCGGCTGGGCGCTCCCCTGGCCGGCCTGCCACGTCAGCGGGCAGCCAGACCCGCGTGCGGTGACTGGATGGCCGAAGCCTTTCTTCCTTTTTTTAAAGGCGGCGATACGGCACGGGGTAAGTGGGAGGAGCCCGTGGCTACAGGGAAAGAACCCAATTGGTGCGGTGGGGCCGGCGTGTGCTTCGGAGGCCGTGGCTGCGCTGGGCCAACCCCGAGTTCTACCCCAAGCCCACGCTCCCTACGTGGCCGCGTCGTCACTAAGTGATCGCTCCGAGTCCGTGCCTGCCACCTGGTACCTCGCGCTTTGTGATGAGTGTTTTAACTTTTGTGTCCCTGACCTGTAGCTCACAGGTTTTATTTCGCAACCCAGGACACGTATAATGTACCATTGAAAGACAAGTTTCCAGAGTCATACCCTTATTACATAGTGCATTCTGATATATTGCATTTCGTTCCACACACACACACACACACACACACACACACACTGGTTTGGCAGCGCACTACCTTCACTTCACTATCCATTAGTGGGTCTCCAACTTTTGACAGACGAAGAAAGTCCAGAGACATAAAACTGCCTTGGACAAAGTTCCAGTGTAAATTGGTAGCCTACTTCGGGTCTCTGGACTTCCCAATGCCAGCCAAGCCAGACGTCCCACACTGAAGCTGCTCCTGTTCTTGCCCCAGACCCAACACCAGCCCGTGGGGCAACAGCTTCCACTTGATTCCCCTTAACAACCCCTCCCTCCGCGTGTCCCAGTTCTGACCACCAGGGGCCAGGGGAGGGAAAAATCCAAGACTAGGACTCAGAAGAAATATACAAACTAGGAGGAGAAGCATCGAATCCACAACCCCAAAAGAGTTTAACATGGATGAGGTAAATCTGAAAAAAAAAAAAAAGCAAACAAACCCGAAAAGTTTGGCACTTATGTTGTCAACAATTCTTAGGAAAACTTTAACCAAATAATGTTTATTTTTATATTGATACACTTAATATATACGTGAATTCAAGATACAAAACTCATTTACAAGAGTTCACACCTGATGAATGTTAGTCACATTCCTAGAGAACATTTATCAATGCAAAAATGCTTTCAATACACTGACAACAAAAATCAAATATTCTGTAATCTTGTTATTCAATAAACATAAAAATGACAATGTTTAACTTTCCATCCTCTAGTATTTAAGCGCCCTCAAGGTGGTAGGCACCATATAAAAGAAGAAAACATTGGAAAGACAGGGGCCTACAGAATCCACTCTGCAGAATCACAGTGTTTACTCTGAAATTCATTTAGTGAAGTAGTCAGTGAAAGGCTTGCTATTATTTATGACAAATCACATATACAAGAGTCAAAAGTGATAAACTTAAGATAATAAAATGTTCCAATAACCTCTCAATTTCTAAAATCTATGAAGTATTAACCATAACAGACAAAGCAGGAAAAGGCTGCTGAAAAAGAACATAAGAGAAAAACATCCTTAAGAGTATGTATGGCTTAAGCAATTTTGAAACACAACAGACAAGACTTGTACAAGACCACAAATGTTCAAGTCAAATGATATTGACAATATAATTTTCCCCCTTAATCATTGGTAGTAAATAGCCCCTTCAAAATGTATTCTACTGATAATACATACAAAACTAATGAATTGAAATGGTTTGCTGTCTCACAGAGCTGAGTTAATGGATCTTGTTCTAAAGTATTAACCCACAATACCCAAAATTTAATACAAATGAGCAACAAGACTACGTTTCAAAGATTACAATGATCTGTAAATAGCTAGATAGGCAACCGAATAGCTTCATTATTTGCACGACAGATTAGCAGCACTTGTATAAGAACTGTTACATGATAATTATTGTGCTTCAATCTCTTGAGGAGAGCTAGTAAGTATAACTCTATAATCCCTATAGTGTTACAATTCTATAACATTTTCAGTTACAGACAAGCACAATTTTTAAAAAGTATTTCACACCACTAGAAAATCAAGTAATTATGGTCTTCAAATGTAATTTCTGCTATGATTGAAACAAGTGCATTTCTGCGTAATATCCATTATACAGACAATAGGTTGACCATTATTTTCAAGAAAAACAAACATAACTTATTTTAACTCCTATTTGATTATCTTAACCTTTGGTGATGATTTGAATAAAGAAAAAAGTTATTCAACTTCACAATGGAAACTGCTCAGAGAAAATAATGTGGCCTGAAATGACAATAATCTTTAGAGCAAAGTAAGAGATGATCTATAACTGCTTCATCAGATTCAGTGATTAATGAAACCCCTATTTGTACTGGTGCTACACACTTAAGATAACCTATTTGGATAAATTCCTTCACTTGTAAGCTCTACTATGAAAATGTTAGGACATCGTACCTGCCTTTCCTAATACTAAGACCTTTTTACCTCAACCAGAAGAAACCTCCAAAATATAAGACTGTCTGATTGCTAAACGGCTGGTTTATTAAAAACAAACAAACAAACAAAAGACAGTTGGAGAACTAGCCATATGGTCTGTGTGACAAAAGGAATGTATCCAGATAACTATAAAAAGCCATGAAAACTAAGTCCTAAAATATTTTACTGAACCATTAAAAATTATTTTTAATAAGGGTTTTTTTTTTAAAAAAAAAAAAGAAAAACCTTTCTTCAAGAAATAGTAATAAAAATTTTTACTGCCCTAAAACATTTACAGCAATTTTTCTTGCAGATTTTAATATATCACAACACATTTTTATAATTTAGAAAAAGTCAGTAACATGCAAAAGAGGGTAGAAATAAGATTTTTAAAAATACTGTGGTTATTTCTCTATGGTTTGGAAATACTTTTAGGATAATCATATATGATCATTTCACATATTACAATGGTTGATCATACTGATTTGATGTTTGGGGAAACTTATGGGTCAAATTGTAATGTTTACTAATCTTAATTTTCATTAATGGACAAATGGACATTTGTAACAGCTTCAAAAGAGAAAATATTAGTTATATGACATAAAAATTTAAATATTGTTTACTGCAGACCTATAGGAAGGCTAGCTATAATTCCCTATCTTATTTTGAAAGTGATATAATCACTCAATCTATTAACTTTCACCCTATAAGCCTACCAGAAAGTAACAATGTGAACCCTGAAATTACCAATGTCTCAATAAACAATACTATACCTAAACAGATGATTGTCTTAGGATATACTGGAATTGTCCACCAAAATAGAAAAATATTCCCAATTTATTGTCTATTCTGTAACCCAATTCAGGCTTTATAATTAAGAGAATCCAGTGGAGTGCAGAATTAATATAGTTCAAACTATTTAAAAACTCTTACCTATGTTCAAATGTTTTTTTAAAAATCACATAACCTTAGTTTGATAATTAATTTTAAAAAATAACTTTAGAAAAAACATAAAAGAAATTAACAAAAAATATTTTAAAATTAAGAAATGGTGCTTCATAAATAGAAAAATATCCTCGGGTGAGGATTGAAAAAAAAAAAAAATGGTGCTTCAGTCAGTGATTAACAGTGTTATGCAGAAATGAAATTCTTCTCAAAAGTCAACATTAAACCAAATAAGTGAAAAATACCAATTTTAGCTTAAGAGAACATTTCACATCTACAGATAGAAATATTTCTATGGCACCAAAAAAATCAGTTATATTAATACATTTATCTTTACCCAATTAAGGGCATGCCCCCTACATCATCTTCTGACACCCTTCTCTTCAATGGGATTTCATTCACACATCAATTATTTTTCTTTAAACACAAGGCATGCTTAGGAAGTCTGTGTTTAAATACTCAGTGAAGCTGGGACATCATGTAATGTTATGTTTTGAAATTCTAGAGTGAGGAAGACAAACTGCCTTAAAAACTTTTTCTGTTTTTTTTTTTAAGTAAAGTGGTCATGGCCAGCCGGTGTGGCCCAGTGGATTGAGCATTGTCCCATGGACTGAGAGGTCCCTGTTTGATTCCCATCAGGGCACATGCCTAGGTTGCTGGCTCAATCCCCAGTAGGGGGCCTGCAGGAGGCAGCTGATGTTTCTCTCTCCCATAGATATTTCTCTTTCCCTTACCCTCTCTCTCTTTAAAAAAAAAAAGTAGTCATAGTATCCAGGAAAGAATGGGAGATCTTGCACAAATAGGTATAAAGTATCAATGTCTAAGAGTACAGGAGGCCCAGAGGGTGTGGCTCAGTGGTTGAGTGTCAACCTATGCACCAAGTGGTTGCCTGTTCAATTCCTGGTCAGGGCACATGCCCAGGTCGTGGGCTGATCCGCAGTGGGGGGGCGTGCAGGAGGAGGCCAATAGATGTTCCCTCTCATCAATGTTTCTATCTCTCTCTTCCTCTCTCTCTAAAAAAAAAAAAATCAATAAAGAAAAAAAAATTTTTTTTTTAAAGAGTACAGGAGAACAGGGAGAAAAGACTTGGTTTTTCTTATATAACTGAAAAGGAACTGGCTTTACAACTGTTAGAGTCAGAGGTCATATTCACAATGTCATTCTCATCTACTGTATTTATTGCTGCCACTCTCCTCAAATCAATGTCCACATTGAGCCTGAGTCAGTTCCATGAATTTTAAATAGCATAATATCTTCTCTGCTACTCTCCAATTTGCAAGAAATGATTTGGTGAACAACAAACACGATGGACGTTTTCACTGACTTTTCAGAAATCGTACATTACCAAATCTTAATATTTATTACTTTATTTTAAATTTAAGACTGTAATTGAGAAGTGCTATGAAGAGTTGACTGTTTTATTAAAAATACAATGAAGAGCCCTGGCTGGTTTGGTTCAGCGGTTAGAG